CAGGGTGCTGTAATTCGCCGCTTGGCTGGATGTGTCAGGTTGCTCCAGGCCTTGTTGCTTTTTTAGGGTGGTTTCTGGAAAGGAGAGGAGGGCTGGGTGGGAGCGCGCAGGGGCTGGAGAGGGGCCGGTGCGGGAGCCGCGCTCCGGCATCGCCTAAAGACGGAGCTAATAATTCCTTTTGTTTTCACCTCCAAATCACTTGGCTTCCTTGGCGCTGCGCCCTGGGTTTGGGATTCGCTGTGTTTGCTCGAGTACAGAGGATACGCGTTTGCTTCTGATTTCGTTTGACTTGCGCTCCCGGGCTCAGTAGGTGCTTTTTGATAGTTTGACCCCAGATAGAGATGACATAATTATTTCCATGACAAGAAAAGTAACCCCACCACAGAAATGTGACTTAATTACAGTATCTGGCAGAAGAAGCTATATTAGGAGTGAGAGATCTCCTTTTCGGACATCAGTTATGCAGTGAGCTGGGTCTTGTTGTTGTTGTTCTGTCAAACTTTAGAGAAAATGCCTGCGTAAAAATAATTTGGGGATGTAATTATGGTTTCCCGGAGCACGTGTATTGTATGTTCCCATAACATACGTAGAGAGGGATGAGAAAATTCTCTCTGTCTTCTGTTCTTGCACAGAAGACAGCTGGGACTTCTCTCTCATGCTCAACTAGAGCATGAAGAGGAACTGCCAGGTGCCGGGGGCACCTGCACAGTGCCGAGGTATTTACCTGCCTCTTCCTCTGAAGACAATTGCTGCTGCGGGGAGAAAGAGCGAGGAACAGGATTTCCCTGCATCCTCCTTGAAAGCAAGATCCCTGGGGAGCTCCTCTTATGCTTCTTGCGGATCTGCTTCTCAGAATAATAGTTTTACACTGGGTATTCATACTGTTACCATCAGGCAGTGCAAAACTCTGCCCAGCTGAGAGTATATCCCGTCTTCTAGACGTAAAAATTGCTTTTGAAATTTTAGAAAGCATATCAACTAAATTAACTTTCAGTGGCGGAGGGCAATAATAAAAGAATTAATTTAGTACTGCTACTGACTTCCACTGGGATCTCATATAAAGAAAGATTCTGCATTTTTTGATTGCATTCATTTGCAGAATGAGAACTGTATATGCAAAGTCAATATTTCTGATGCTTTTGGCACATTTTCAGACAGTGTGCAATATTATCATAAATTAATTGTAGATAAGTGATAGATCAGTAACTCTTTTAACTTTAAAAGTACTGAAAGCTTGCTACCTAAATTTAGTAACAATGCGTATGAATCCCTTTTTTTCCTTTTTTTGATTGGAGATGCACACATAGCTGTACATGTACCCATACTGTACCCTGGTTATAATTGTTGGTTCTGATGTTTTATCAAATCTTTGGAAAAACAAAAAATCATCTAAGGAAACTTGATACGTTATTTCTGTTGCTGTATTAAAAAAATAAATATTACCAGCAGTAAGTAACTTTCAGAATTCAATTTTTGATGACAGCAATGCTTGACTTGTGAGTTTGGTATTGATCTTTATTTCACAAACTGTTGTGACTCAATCTATGAGCCAACCGCATGAGCATGTTCATGACAACTTTTCTGAAGTAGTGGTTTTCATTTTGTTTTTTTAAGTAGTGAAAGTGCTGTACCCTGGTAAAGCGGGGTTAAACATGCTGGTAACAGATCCTTTTGCTTTAATTGTAGTTTGTCAACTAGTTTACAACTAGTCTGAAGTAATTCTGGGGCTGTCCTTCCTCAAGGATCAGAGTTTGCATGGAAGGATCGCTGTTGGTTAAATAAAATTTTGGTCCAGACGAACTTGTATGCCAAAAATATGTTCTGCTGTATTTTTATTTAGAACAGCCAACAAGTATTAACAGTTGCTTAAGAACAAGATGGATAAATAGAGTTTGAATACGTTTCTGCAGTTGAAGCCAGCTTCACGATCAGTTCAGGTCTCTGGAAGCTGATTTTGCCCCTGAAAGGCTTTGGATGCACACAACTCTGGTCTGTTTTTTTTTTTTCCCCCCCTCCTTCAGCCTCCTCCTCTGCATTGGTACAAAAGCTGTGTTTGTTTTTAAAGTTGGAGCTAACTTGGACCAGTTTCCTGATCTGGTTACAGCATGTACCTTACAGCATGAGGCAAGTGGTACCCTCTTTTGGCTTTAGTGTTTGCTTAAGTTGGTTATAAAATTGTGGTGTTTTTCAAACATTGAGAGGATTATTACAGTAAAATTTAGGATCAGAACCAAAATGTACCGAAGCATTAGGAAAGTATTCTTGTGTGAAATACAAAGAGAAGGGAAGTCATTGTAACTTTGTTTTACAGCTCACGGGAGGGAGAGGATGCCTTGCCTGAGGTTGGAAGGGGAGTCGGCAGCAGCAGCAGCAGCAGGTTCAGAGATTAGTAGTTCTTGGTTTTGCTGTTAGGTAACATACCTCTTTCTTAACTCTTCTACAATATAATATGATGGATAGAAAAGAGAACAAGAATCAATGCGAATAAAAACTAACCCATATCAAGCATGTTTTACAAAGATTTCTGGTCTTGCATATTCTGGTCATTTAAGAACATAATTGTAGTTAGGTAGTGGCACCTAGATTTGTTACTACTGGCTTTCGTATCAAAGAAAGCTTTTCGCATCTGTCCCTCCATAGGACACTTACTCAGTGGTACTTGTCTAATTCAGATTCCCTTGTTAAAGTTCTGTATATAGAACTTGTGTATCTGATGATAAACAAGATCGAGCTCCAGAGGTCCCTTCCAACCCCAACTATTCTGTGACTCTAATGATCGCTCTTAGCAAGTTTTCAATCCTCTATGCCGTAATGTTTAACCTCAGAGCTTCCTGCGGCGCTGTGCATCTTCACTAAGCCCAGAGCATTCCTTTTTGTTTTTTCACTGTTTTGTATTAAATGTCACGTATGCTGCACTCGCTTCCTTCTGAATAGATTTTAAAAGTATTATATTTATTAGCCTAAATTCTATAGCTTGTAGAAGCAGGAAGATCTGAGACTCTGCATAGCATTTATATGTTTGTTACTAAGAATACCTATGGGTTTATTGCTGGTGAAGCCTGAGGAGCTTTAGTGGCCAGTAATCGCTGGTAGTTTTAGTTTTAAGTAGTTTGGAAAACCACCAAAGATCGATTATAGTTTGTATGCAGTTATGCCTAGATTATCGTAAAAGCAAACATAAATGTATGATAACTTTTTAAAAACTATCTCCATAGGATATGGGAGAAGCTTGAAAAATCTCTCTCAGTTCTCAGACACAAACATGGGCCTGAGGCTATCAACAGTCCAGAGAAGAGACTTTTTTCCCCCCGTCTTTTCTTTCTAGCACATTAGGTCTGTAGAAGAAGACACTACCTGTATTGCAGTATGAGCAGAGTGCAGAAGACTGCTTTTCCCTTTGTTTCTTTCTGTGGCTGTAACCTCTGTTTGCTGAATGTCTATTTGTTTTTATCGAGGAAAATCAGCTGGGCTATATTGGAAATCAGCCTGGGGAAGCTGAGGTTAATCATCCCACTTACTGCTGGAAGGCAGGCTGGGGAGATTTGAGCTTAAGGGACAATCATAATGGGACCGATAAAAGCAGGTCTCCGATAAAAGCAGGTCCCTTGTTCTCAAAGGAGGGAGTGCTTTATAGAAAGAGGGTGATAACAATTATGTTTGTAGTACTTCTGCTGTTTATCTTTAATCTAGTCCTCCCTAAGGAAATGAAACTTATGAGGCTGTTCTGTTTCACTGCAGTTCTTCGTCTACACCCTTGTGATTGCTCTTGTACTTTCTAGTCAGTTACAAGCGAATTTTACAACATATTTGAAATAATCTCAAAGACCATTGAGCTACTGTATGTTTTCTGGGAGAGAGAAAAAAAAAAAAGATGTCTCAGTCCAGAAGGTGCCTGTACTGAGAGAAAAGCAGGAGGAAACTACATTTGCTCTTGGGGAGCAGGTAATAACTGGTGAGCGTGTATGTTTCTTTGTCTCCAGCACATCTTGCCGCTTGCCCAATGGCCTGTGCTAGAGCGAGTCACGGAGAGAGCACAAAAGGAACGTATAGCAAACCAGGCATCTTCTGTTCTGCCGCTAATTAAATGATTAAAAAAGAAATGCTTTACCAAAGAGCATTTTGTCACACCTCAAAATGCAGGAGCGCAGAGTTTCTTCATCCGTGAAGAGGTCCTGTTGTGACAAAATCCAACCCAAAATGTATAGTGTTAGAAGGAGTTAAATACAGCTGAAAAGCTTGAAGAGGTGGAAGGGCAAATGGGTAGAAATACATCCTCGAGAGTGTTTTTCTTTATTCTTTTATCTTTTTTTTTTTTCCTGTTTGCATTTAAGCATTGCCCTGAATATTTGCAGTTCAAACACAGAATTTTCTAATGCTGGTCTGAGAGATCAAGGAAGCAAAAGAAACTGGCAAAAATGAAAGTGAAACAATTTGGTTCCTTCATTTCATCAGCCTGAAATGAATTTTAAAATAATGTTTTAGCTACTTTTAAATTCATTGTTGTAGGTATTTATCAATAAGTTTAATCATTTTCTGGAGTTTGAGGTCAGATGGTATCTTGTCTGACCTCAAGCTGTTGTATTTCAGCCAGAGTTTTTTCTACAAAGTGCCAAGAATTGAGCTAGATTTCAGAGGAGTTGCTGGCACTGCACATTCGGGAAAGCAGGGGAAACTGAGTCACCTGTAGCACCAGGAAGTTGAATAAATGAAATACGCTCAAATGATTTCAACAGGTGAATCATACCCCACTTTGCAGACACAGGTGAAAAACTGCGTTTTTGTTGCCAGCCTGCCTGGGTGACGATTCCTCTTTGCTTCCAGGTCTGGCAGTTGACATGAGCCTGAGCTTACGAATAAGACGTGCCATCCAGGTTTCTAGAAAGATGCCACCTCAGCACTGATTCACTCCATTCTGATGTTTTGTTTCCAACCATGTTACTCCTTTCAGAGACACTCCTTTTCAGCTTCCCATTTCCCTCTCTTCCCTCTATCTGTATGTAGGTGGTCAATATCTATGGCAGAGAAGGAAAAATTATCTTTTTAAAACTGTCTTCTTTTAGTGGTGGTCTTTTTGCCCTTTTTCTTTCTTTCTTTTTTTAATGTTACGGTTCATTAGTTGGTTTACTGTGTAGTCCTTTATAGGAGAAGGATAATGTGGTTACTATTGAGCGTGTTACAGTAATTCAGATTTTTTTCGTTTGCTAAATCCTGCCAGGATTAAGGAACAGAATTCATTCCTAAGTGCTACAACATTAGCGCACTTGCCTTTCAGATCTGAATTTGGTTGTGGAACTCTTAACATTTTTTGTTACAAAATGCTGTTTGTCTTGGGAAATTACATGAGCGGTCTTTATTGTAATTTTTTCCAGAATAAAGAATGGCTCTGTGCTTTTTAAACTTAATTACCTACATGTGATTATATTCACTCTATCGGTACGTAACACTATGGCAGTACTCAATTTTTTAGCTAGGTTATAAAGATAGTTTTAATTGTGACAGGAAAAAAAAAAGCCTAAGGAAATTGCTAATAAAAGCTCTATAAGAGTAAGCCACACTTGTACATACTGGGTATTTTTATTGAATGGATGAGATCAGATCAGTTGAGCCTACAGTAGAATTCTTGTGGTTTTTCGAAACCTTTTTGTAAAATCTGAATCGACCAATTTGAAGGTGATAAAAAGCAGAGCAAAACTGAAGTTCCCCATTCCTTCCAATGCCGTAGTTTCAGGGTGACTTTAAGCTGGCAGAGAAGTTGTTCCACTCTGCTCCTAGTTGTTTGTTATTACCTCCTCCTCCCTTGTGCCAGCTTGGGTTTAAGCTGGACTGGTTTTCTGGTTTTGTTCCCCGCGCAGCCTGCAGAAGTGTGTGAGGGAAGGAGCAGCCTGCGGAGAGGGCGTGAGTAGCCAGGGATGGAAAGAGGGTGGGATTGCTCCTTGCAGCAGCTTTACTGTGAACGTGAAACCATGAAACCTCGGCATGCTCTGTGCAAGAGTCTGTCGTGGGTGTCAGGAATGAAGGAGAAGTGAAAGTGGGACTGGTGATTTATTTTGCCTTTTTTTTCCTTAGGTTGAGCAACTTAAAACATGATGAATAGTTTAAAATTTGGGAAGTCTTGTTCTCCTTTTCTTTCTGTCTCATACAGATCTGTACAGTTAAACAGAGGATTGTTTGCAGATGGCAATATCCTTTACATACAGTAACGTTTCACCAGTTTGTAGGGCAAAGCCTTCTACTAGCGGTCAGACACCAGCAGATGTAGTTTACTGGTGTGGCCCTGGGCCCTTCTTTCTACTGTGAAACTTGTGTGACACTGGTACAGGTCACTAGTCGTTCCTGTTGCTGGACTGATAAGAAGTGCTATGGGAAAGATCGACTGAAATTCAAAGGCAAATTTTATTTACTCTTTTGGCTTCCCAGTCTTCAACTTTTGGTCCAGAAGTGAGAGCCAAGTGTTACCAGCGTTTAACAGAGAATAGCTCTAATATTACCTAAATGTATTTTTGAGGTAAAATATTTCACCGTTGGAATGAATTTAGTAGTTTAGATTTTTAATTTTCAGGTGGTATATTTTAGTAAAAATTGAAATTGACTGTGATGCTGACATTAACTTTATGACAATTCTTGAAATTTTTTCGCCCTCTTGGAAAAATAATACATATTTTAAATCATGTAAGTAGAGGCTTAAGCTGTCCATTTTCTGCTTTGTGTCTCTTCAAAGTGAGGTATAGAGTGACTATATGATATAATCTGAAAAAATTGTTATCCTTTATACTGATAATATTCAGAAAGATTTTTTTTTTCTTTTTTATAAGCATTTTAACCTGATCCTTTCTTTTGGTGCTTCTTAAATTTTTGTGCTAAGTAGAGTAAGTACATTGTGATATCACCTAATAGTTGTAATTTGATTTTTTTTCTTCTATTATTCCTTTGCTTCACTAGATGATAGGCTTATTTCAATGGGTTCTTTAATATCCAGGAATTTCCAGTGATCATGCTTCTACCTACTGAATATACAGATGGACAGGAAAGGGAGAAACTTTGTATTCCCGAACTCCAAATCTTGCTATAGTTGTCTAGAATACATTTTCTTTTTTGGCTAATTCTTTATTCTCGTAATTCCTATTACCATCTCAAGGATTCTTAAAAAAAAATTCTTACAGATTTCCTCTTCGTTCTTTATATTAGTAAGAGTAATTCCTTACAAGCAAACAGGCTCCTATATTCATGCTTAGCTTCCTATTAGAAAAACAACATGGGATTTGCCTTCAAAATCAGGTTCAGATGATATACTACTTAAAGGACTGAGGTTTAGATAAGTAAAGTTAATTTGTAGCTAAACAAAATATTTACTACCTCTATTTTTCTGAAGAAGCAAAATCTTTTGTAATTGATGGCAGTTAGCAAATACAAGAGTTGTATGTGTCAAAAATGTAATACTTAAGTGTCTGTGGATGTAGGTGATAGGTCAAGATTTATCTTTTTTTTTTTTAAATCAGTTGATAAAATGGAGCTTGCTGGAAACTGAATTAGTTTTCTTCAGTGGCTAATTGGAGCAGTATGTTTTACTACGTGGTATTTTTTCTAGACATATTAAATTTTTTTTTTTCAAATTTTTTCAGTGTAATTGTGGATATCTTGGTTCTTAGTTTTTTTTTTTTTTCCTAAAGCCAAAAATAGGAAGGAAGGAAAAAAGCAAGCTGTTAAAAGTTGTGTCACTGAGTGATAGTTACCATGTTTTGCTGTTTTTTTATCTCACCTCTTTTAAATAGAAGTCAAGATTAACAAAATATTCATGGGTTTTATTTTGATATGGAATGTATTATGAAAATCCCCCGTTATGCCTATGGGGGAACATGCTTCCTGTCATCATTAGTAGTTTCACTTTTCCTTAGAGAGGTTTATTTTAATGCATTTTCTATGTAGAGCTTTGATATTTTTTTCCTTCATTTTTAAAGTGTCTGTCACTATTTCTCCAGCAGACAATCAGCTACGATTCTTTCCTGCACCGTGGATTTAAAATCAACTTCAAATTACTGGAGAATTGCACTTCAAGTGGTCTCAAGAGACAGAAGAAGCAGGTCTTCACTATAATGGAAGAGGCCAGGAGCTCAAAGAATGGAAATCATGACCCAAGGAAGTCTGCCCGTGTTGTCTGTGAGGAAGGCAAAGCAGTCAAAATTACAAATAATCAAAATTATAAACATAACAGAAATGATAAAACTGTGAAGGATGTTGGGAGAAGTTCTCCAAGTGGGAATAGCAGCAAAAAAAGTAAACAAAATGATGTTTTTTCTGAAAAACAAGGAGAAAATAAATCATGCAAAGTAAATAGTTGTATTCCTGGGACTAAAGATTTGGCGGGGTCAAACCTTCAGGATCGTAGTCATGGAAAAGCAAAAAAATTTTCTAATTTATCATCAGCAGTGGAAAACCTGAAACAGACAAAAGCCCAACAAGTAGGAGAAAACTTTTCAGGCTCCCATGTTTCTGGGAATGGAGTTAGTACAGAAACCTTAACAGCTACCCAGAGAGGGAAAGTGGTGTTGGAAGATCCACTGGGAGTTCATACGTTGAAGACTAGTGTTGATCAGACTGGTGATCCTGGTAAGACTGCTTCAGATCAAAGAAAAATGGAACAGAAGTCTGATGACTTCAGTGAGTATTATTCAACACTGCTTTATTCATTTTTCTTCTGGTAAAATTGTTAACAATCTGAAATAGGCTTTGAAATGTTTCTATTTGCATTTTTTTTGCCTATTGTAACTTGCTGAGTGCGTTTACAGAGAGCATATTATTAATAATAAGCATATTACTTAGAGAATAGAGATTATGATAACAGCTGTTCTTCCCTCCCCACACCATGTCAAAAATCTAAACATCTTTGCAAGATAGTTAGAGTGCGTGGGTTTCAGGCAATTTTAGTGCCTTGGAGGGGGGAAAAAAAAACAACCTTCATAATGTCATTGCCTTTTATGGAAAGGCCAGATATTGCTGCTTTTCAGAAAGATCAGGGGAAAAATTCAACAAGAAAACTTTCTTATAGGTAGTACGGAAATACTTACCTTTTTCTGTGACTGTTGTGCTCTTTTTGTTACCAAATCTTCAAAAGATGATTTGGCAGGAGGCTTTTCTGTTTAGGGTGCTGTGTAACATACTATCAGCAGTTATCCTTAAGAGTGTTCATTTTCTGTCTTCGATTTTGGAAATAAATATCTGGATCAGAGTTTGTTTCATTTCAGGTTAGTTCCTTAGCACAGAGTTCGTCCAACTTCTTCAAAACATAGGAAAATGCTTTTTTGAGACTGCTTTTTTTTTAAAAAAAAAAAAAAAAGCAATCTCAAAAAATTGTAACAGAAAAACAACTTGAAATGGCAGCATCCTGTGATCAGTCCAGCTCTTTGTAGACCACCATCATGTACTGCAGGGACCATCTGTCACTGACAAAGCCAGGACTTGAAAACTTGCTCAGTTTTTGATTCCTAGCTGGTCTGAGGACACAGATACCTCATAAAAACCTCAGTTTTACTGATGAACAAATTGTAGGCGTCTGGAGAAACTGGCCTTTCGGAATCTACTTGCGTGTTTGTAAATAGCGATGTTCCAGAGCGCTGTGGTTGCTAGCCGTAGGGCAGTGAGGTGTCACGGGGCGTTCAAACGCCACTCCAACAGCCTTTCAAGTTGAGGTGGTTGAAATGTGTGGATACTAGCTTTGTGAGATCGTTTGGGTCAACGTCTTTAAAGTGGTTTTATGACTGTTTCCTTAGCAAAGTATGGTGTAAAAATTTATACCTAGTATTTATTATTTCTATCACAGTAGAGCATCAGGATCTCAGGTACTCTACTGTGCTTAACAAAAACCCCCTTTTCCTGCCTTGAAGAAGTTAATAGAGGAGTTGAAGTTAGGATTGAAGAACAAAATGGATCTATCCTTTTTTTTCTTTTTGATAGCACTCTTCCGTCAGAGACTAGTCTGCTACTCTCTCCAAAATTATAATAAACACACTGAAGAGATTCTAATGTCTAAGATGATTTTGGCCAACCTTTCAACGAAAGTCTGGACTGTGGCTCTAACTTGTGCCCAGTTCCTTAGTGAGACACCCTCAACTGCTCTGGCCATATTATATAACTTCTATTTTTTCTATTCTGAAGAAAATAACTACCTATTTCTTTCTGTAGGTAAAGTAAAGAATTCTGAATCAACTAAAGAACACACTTTGGAGTCTGATTATTTAGAAAACACTGCTGTTATTGATGAATCTAATCTGACAGCTGAACAACAACTAGGACTGAAACAAGCAGAAGAACGACTGGAAAGAGATTACATCTCCCGACTTGAAAAAGTAAGTTGTGTTACTTATTCAACAAAAAAGAAAGTTAGTATCTTTGTACAAGGTCGTTTAGCCTACCTTTCATTGTATTTGCCATATTTCTTTTTGGGTGGTTTTTCTATTAGACCCTGTTGCCTCTGTTTCTTTCTTCTTTATAATGACTCACTTGCATGATCTAAGATGCTATTCCTAGTAATTGACTAATCCCTTGTTGGAGCAGGAGGAGTGGACTGAAAATTTGATGTTCCTTTTGTGGCAAATGTAGCCTATATGGAACAATATTTTTAATTCCACAGACCTAAAGGATGACTGTTCCATTACTTATCTGAGATTTTTCCAGAAAGTCAGGTTACCTGGACTCTCAGCATACAGGATTGAAAGGGACCTCAAGGTATGTTCAGTGTATTAGCCTTCCACTAGTCAGAATCGCCTATACCGGAGACAACAGTTCAAGAATGTTTGTCTAAGCTGTTCTTAATCTTCAGTGAAACAAATTTCAAAACCACTGTAGGAAACCAACAAGTTTTTCCTAATATCTAATGCAAATCTTTCTTGCAGCATTTTAATCTCTTCATATTTTGTCCTAGGAAAATAAACCTAACAATTCATTCCTTTTTTAGCAACTTCCACACATTTGAATATCGTTACCAGTACTCCCTGCAGGGTTTTCTTCTTTAGACTCGCTCTTTCTTCCTATGTCATTGGATGCATGTGTGGCTTTTTTTAAGCTCGTAGATAATTCTTGTTGCTTTTCTCTGGACTTCCGCCACCTAGTCCATGTGACAGGTATCCAAAATTGGACATAGTGTTTCAGCTGAGGTCTTAACTGGTACTCTGTAAAGAGGAAAGTTGACTTCATCCATCTGAAATAAAACATTTGTGTTTTTGTTAGAGGAGGATGTCTGCTGTTATAGCAGCAATAGGAAGTTGACTTGTACTTTGATTTGCTATGATTGCCATATCCTTTCCTTAAGAAGTGCCCAGCCAGGTGTTGCCAGACCTGTATTCATTGTCGTTGATAATACGTAGGCAGGAATAATACTTTGCTTTGGTGTTATTTAATTGCGCTTTATTCTGTTTTTCTGATTTGTTGTGATCACCTGGAATTGTCATCATCTTACAAAGCCTTTTGTAACCTCTCCCAAATTGATGTCTTGTGCAAGTGTAGTCAGCACACCCTCTGTTGGATTTCGTAAGTCTTTAACAAAAACGTGAATGATTCTCACCCCGAAAGGACCCTGTTGAAGACTGCTTGCACGTACTTCTAGATAGGTGGTGAACCTTTGCTATGTGCCCTTTCAAGGCCATTTTCTGAGCAGTTTTGCTCCCACCTTACCAATCCTTATTTAAATAGTTGTTATGATCTGCTTTTGAGACTGATACTATGTAGAGTGTTGAAAAAACGTGCTGAATCTAAGATACAACATCTGTTGCTACTTCAAGCCTTATGATTTTGTGTTTTTAAAAAGCAACCCCAAAATTGGTTTAGTATAATTTGTTCATAGCAGATCAGTTCGTCCCCTGTGACCTGTTTTCTTCTACATACTTATTCATATCTTAGTTATTTATTACAGTATTTTTCTGGAGGCTATTTCTGACTGGTCTCTGATTCCTTGGCTTATCCTTTTTAGACTTTTAAAGACAGTCTTAAGTTTTTCTTTCCTAGTGATTTGGAGCCATCTCATTCTCTGTGGGTTCTTTAAGATGCAAATGGCTCTGAGATGGATGAGCCAAGGGTAAATTTCAGTAGGCCTAGCTTATCTGAAGGCGTCTAACTTATTTAAGTAGTAATCTGTAACTTTTTATTAGTGTATTTTGAGGTCTTACCCCTTTACTGGTGTTAAGCATAACTAGATGATGAAAACAAGCATTACAATAAAGGCAAAGTAAAAGGCATTACATGATTCAACATTTCTGACAACATCTGTTGACCTAGTACTGCAAAGCAGTATTGCATGTACTTAGGTATCTCTGTTTCTGGAGGGCTGCAATTTTCATTGAACATTCAGCACGTTTTCATTTAACTTGATTTAAAGAAATAGCCAATCATTTTTAATATTACTGTTGCCGAGATGCATTCAACTTCAGAAGAGTGCTAAAATACTATTTTTCATCTGCAGTCCTTAAATCTTCATAGTTAGCCAAGTGTAACTGACTGTAATTTACATTCCTAGTAGATGTTTAATTTCATCTTGTTAGGTATCAGTGTTGCAGAAAATGCAGATGAAGGAAATTAGTAATGAAAGTGTAATGACTGGGTTATTTTAAATTGATATTTACTCTGATGTTGGAAAATATCAGAAAGTGTCTGAAGTCTTTCTGAAAGTCAAAGCTCAAACTCAGTAAGTTGAAAAACTTGTCCAAATTTAGCAGTGGTTTAGGTTTTCTATAGAGTAATTCAAATTTGTTTAACCTAAAAATAGTCCGTTTCAGGGTCTTAAAATGGTGTTCTGTGTTCATTCATTGCTATGACACTGTTAAACAGCTGGTGTTTTCAGCATGCTTTTCCGTTTTAGTAAATACAGATGTATTAGAATTAGAATGGAAACGTTAGGTAGGGTCTTTTAGTCTCGCCGTTATAACTGACAGCGGTTACTGGAAAAGTGAAAGTCTGGAGGAAAACTAATCTTTTTTTTTTCTTGGGATCCCTTCAAGAGGGACATGAGGAGGAACGCTCTCACATTGTGTCTTTTGAAGTGAGCATATGAAAAGATTTCCTATCTCTGTAGCTGTATCTTATTAGAACATTGCAACAGAGCAAGAAAAAACCTCTACTGGATGAGACAGAAGTGGAGGATTTGAAAGCAATTCTTGCCCCCCTCTTTGCAGAGGTGTTCCTTTCTGCTGTTTAGTCTAGTAGTTCTCGGTGGTTTCCTGGATGAATGAACTCTGCAGTATCTCTTCTTGGTCGCTGGGAAGATGTTGCTTTTTGCATCGTCTCCTGAATCTTGGCTGTGAGGCTGCTTCTTGCTGCAGGCATGCCCCTTGCGCCTCTCTCATCTCCCAGGCTGCAGCTCCCTGTTTGGGTACTCCATCGCTCGCAGCCTGTCTATCCAAAATGCTGTTCATTCGGGAGTTTCGCCAGTTCTGAGCGTGCTGAACTGTAAGCTCACTTCCAGCCGGAAGGCAGAAACCAGCTATCTTCCTCCTTGTTGGCCGGCTGTACCCTTCTTAATAGAATACAAAATGCAGTATTGCACTTTACACTGTGAATATCCAAAGCAAGGCAACTCCACTATCTGTCATAACGTGTATAGCAGATAGTGTGATGAATGCTTCCCATTTTCTCCTCAGAAAAATGAGGATAGATGCTGAGACTTAATAAATCCATGGTTATTGAAAGCTTGGGCTGATAAGGGAAGAGTTTACAGCTCTTTAGTTCAGGCTTAGTCAGCATAAACTGTTAAGTCTTGATCTTGCCTCACTGAAATCTACTTAGAAGTGTAACGTCCAAATAATCTCACTTCCTTTCCTTGCTTTCGCCCCTTGTTGTATGGGTGCAAATCCGTTTCCACTGGTTTTTTTGGAGATCACTTAGTGTTTGCAAAACACCTGGACATTGTAAGTGCTACATAATCGTTAAATGCAATTTATTGTTCAAACAGTTGAGTTTTTCAGATGACATTGGCAGAAACATTTTCTTTTAATCTATGACCGTTTTTCCCCAGCGCTCCCCAGAATACACCAACTGTCAGTATCTATGCAAGCTCTGCTTAGTTCACATTGAAAATATCCAGGGAGCTCACAAGCATATTAAAGAAAAACGTCATAAGAAAAATATAATGGTAAGTTAACAAATAAGAAATTTGACTGTTGTTTTTCTATTTTTAAAAATTAAGATATTTTTGTTATGTGGTATGCTTCTTTTTGTCATCTCCTTTTAGGTAAAAGTTTGCGTGTGCTGAACAGGGATGCACAAATTCCTGTTGCTCGTTTTCTGTTTGAGAGCAAGGGCTTGGTGATCTGTCCAGGGCAAGAGGAAAGAACGTTTGTGATAGTTGCTTTAAATTAGTCTTTCTGAGTAGTGGGCAGTTCAGTTGGATCTTGAGCCTCATATTCCTAGTAGCAGGAGGCTAGGTAGCTCAAGATGACAAGTACATTTAGTTTTTCTGATTCTTTCAGAAATAACACTGTTAGTGGCAAAAACATCATGGAGGGAGGGTTGTGTTTTTGGTTTGTTTATTTGTTTTTCTTTTTTTGGTCTGATTTGTGTGTTATATCTTTTTTTTTTTTTTTTTAAATCTACATCCTTTCTATGACGGGTAAGCAAAGGAAATAGTACGTGTAGACTAAAAAAAGAGAATTGAAGTAGCGATTCAGTTCCTGAGATGTCATTTGTCATCTCCCTGTGGTTGTGTGTATGTTTCATATGAAAAAATATGTGCACAACTCGGAGGGTTTTTTTTAAGGAGAAAGGCAACCAGTTTCCTTATTTTTCCTTATATTGTTAGCATTTATGTTGCTTTAAAAAAAATAAGTTTTGTGCATGACTAGTAAATGGCGCACACGTTTCATTTGTTGCCAACCTGCTTTGTGTAAACACTGGTGGTGATCAACAAATTCAGAAGTTTGTATTGTGATTCAGATAGTTAAATGACTTCTACAACTATTTCCCAAAGTGTAGTGAGTTGCTTATTCCTGCTTTCGTGTACTACTTACCACGCTTGTACGTGGGATTAACGCTCTAATTCTCTTATATATGCCAGCCAAGACTTCACTGAGAACACTCTGAATGCCATAGATGCATAGTGTCCTCAGAGAGGAGTATTTTTTTTATGTTCAGTTATTAGTTGTAAGGGATTTTGGTTCTTTTGCTGTCTGCTAAATTACGTCATGAGGAGAAAAAAATGAATAAAACTGCAAGAAACCAGACCCACAAGTGATACGGAAACACTTTTGTACCATGCTTTCCATCTGGGCATGGAGATAAGAGTTGAGGAAAGAGGTTTCTTTAGCAGTGAATGGAAATGATAGACGACAGGGAGTGGTTTCAGTTTATAACACTTGTCTACGGTAGCTTTATGTTGTACACTACATTGCAGTGATAAATAGCATGTAGCTGTCTAAATGTTACTTCATTAAACACATGTATTGGCTTCCAAAACACTATGTATTTTAGATATATCAGTGTATACATTTGAATTACCAGAAGTTGAAGATTCTTAGTTTGACTAAAGAGGTCCCATTCTTTACAGCTCTAACAATAAAATGTGACAGTACAAAATAAGCTTAGCAGCAGCTTCCACTTCCCCACTCAAGGAAAAGCCTATAGCGATGCCATAAATAAAAAAACCTTTTCAGAAATGCACATCTCCTCTGTTATGTTAAATTTGTTTAAGAAAATAGAAGTTGATAGAAACAGTCTAGAACTAACCAAACATGATTTTCACGCCGACTGGCATGTGCATAACTAGTAGTTAGTTAGCGCATAGTTAGTGCATAACTGTTTTCTGGTTATTATTAATTTCTGTTGTCAGTCATATATTTCATGTAGTTGATGAATCTGTAAAACAAGCAATTGTTGCGCCTACCCCCAAATGGCTTGATGCCACTGACATTTATTACTGTCGGATTAAAGTGATTATAATTTGATGGATTAAAAATAGCACTTCCTGGCATTAGCTGTTTGGTAGCAGTGGGAGGAGACTCAACCTCTTAAGTTCACTTGGTGTTAGGGATACCTTTTCTGCCCCTGAAATCTTTCCTTCAGTTGTGATCCATTCTGAAAAATCGTGTGACCCTACTCCTTCCTCAACACTGTGTGACCCCTTCCTCAACGCTGTTACTTTCAGTATGTAGAAAGAGTTGCAGCTTTTCACTTCCTTGGATGCGTTCTGTTTCAGAGCTGTCTGAAAACGTGGTTCCAGAACGTGACGCTCCAAACTTTCTCCCCAATTGCCAGCTGTGAAACAACGTGTTCTCTTGTAAACACTGAGCAGCTACAGTCGTTTCCATGAGCCACACTATTACGTTTGTCAGTCGGGCCAGGCAGAGTTCCTACCTTTGCAAACGTGTGGTCGGGACAGCATGTAAATAGAAAAAACACAAACAACAAACAACACGTTCCGTTATTGTGCAATACTATGAGATAACCTTTTTCTCTTAAAATATCAGTTTTTACTTTTATCATCCAAAAATTATTCAGGAAAAACAAGAAGAAAATGAGCTGCGTGCCCTCCCACCCCCCTCCTCCGCACAGTTGGCTGCTCTGAGTTTTACACTCATTGAGGCAGCAAATGAACAAGGCATATCAGATGATGACTTCAGAATCCGTCAAGAAATTGTAAACGAGATGGAGAAAATTATTCAACAGCCCTTACCAGGTATCCATAGTATCCTCCGTTTTCTTTAGGTGGAAATTGTTCTCTTTGTTTATTCTCATATAGATTTTGATACCTTCATTAGTGATGGAATAATAAATTTGGGGTTGAAGTATCTATATATTATACAGTATTAATATATACAGGCATTTTAATATAGATTAGCACTTGATTTAAATGCAGCTAACAGACCTACAAAAAGAGGAAAATATGATTGTGCTTGGTTTTGCTTCTTTCTGATACGTGTTTATTGAAGCCGTTTGGCTTCTCTAAAGTGATGATTTCTGGTGAAGATCAGAAATGTCTGGGGCCCCAAATGTTTCCTCCTTGGTCTTGTTTAAAGCCTCAGCCACTGAGGCTGTCTCTCTCAGACTAGTCCTAAACCTAACTGGTATTACTGAACGCCTGCAGAGATGTGCACTGTAGTAGAGAGATTAGTTGTCAAGTGCGCTTCATTAAACGGATATGAATGTAATAACGGGGAGGGGAAAGAGGAAGGAGCTTGAAGGAGCATGAAAAATACTCCGGCTTTTTTGTCCTACCAGTGCATGCATCAGCTGTTTGTGAAGTCTTTCGGGGCAAATAAAAATCACATGAACCAGTTTTTTAAAAGCATAAATTTGGGGGGAAGGAAGGATTTTTTTTTAGATCTTATCTATGAGGGGTTTTGTTAAGGGTATAAGGCATTTTTAGTACTTAATTGTGTTATGGAACGTCTGCAGGTACTAATCAGTAACTCTTCATTAAAAGAAGTCATTAAAATTAAGAAAGTTTATTGTTTAACAGGCATTTCTTCTCATGCATGTTTATAGTTAGTGGGTCCTAAAGTGAAGAAAGCTGCGCTTGGAGGTCAGCTATAGCTTCTGAAAATCTTTCAAATACCTGAATTATCTTTAACAGGTCTAGATATATCTCCTCTGAAATACTGTGCTTACTTAATTATATGTAAATATCATACCTCATCTAGTTCTTCCTTGATAACTTAAGAAAAAAAAGTCTGAGTAGGTTAAATGATTAGTCATGTTCTCACTTCAGGTAGTTAAGTTTCTTTACACTGCTCAAGTTCTTAGGAGTTGTCTGGGGATGCTGAACGGTAGTCATGCTTTTGCTTCAGATATGTAGTATGTCACTTCATTAGAACACGTGAAACATTCAAATCCAGTCTATAGAACTGGTGGAAAATAAAATAATCCATGACACTTGCTGCTTTGCATTAATTTCCCGTTATCTCCTGTGGTGCAATTGATACACCGAAAATTTTGAGAGCTGAGTTTTATAGCTACATTGATGTTTGCATAATGTTAACAATAGCTGACTTTTCAGTGACTCTGAACAGAACACGGTATTGATCTCACTGACAGAAGAATGACTTTTCAAACTCACATTTCATTTATATCAAAACTGAGCTGATGTTCTATACCGTTTTCTGTTTTGTTTTAGAAACACTATTATTTTTTTCCCTTTGCACTATAAAAATACAGGAGTAAGAAAGACTTTTTGTTTGCTGTAGGATGATTAGCCTTATTTTGAGGAACTGTGTTTAATATGCACTTCAACGTAAGGTGCAGAACTTTGCTAATCTGTTTACTCTGTAATATTGCCATGGGTGGCTGCTCTGTGCAAACCTCTGTTCTGACATGCTGTTGAGTTTTCCACTGAAAATTAGTATTTTAGCATGAGACAAGACAAAGGCAACAATTTTACATACATACTCATGAAAACTACTGTGTTAATGTCATTTGGCTAGTTGATATGTTTGGACTGATGAAGTGATGTGGAGAGGTATGTCTGTAGCAGTGAATGGCAGTTTCTTTTCCTGCTTTTTAAAGCCTGGTATGTTTTAATGAATGTATTTTCCAAGCTGTAAATTAGGGTAAAATTCAATTCATGCGCAGTATTGAAAACATTTTGGCTTCTTTTTCTCTAGAGCTCACAACAGAACCAACGTGATAGTTCTTACTACCATGGGAATCCATAGGAAGTAATTGCAGTGGGTTTAGGTTTTTTGTTTTTTGGGTTTTTTTTGTGCCAAGCAAATTCATTTTGAAAGGGCTGGTTTCTAAGTAGCAGAGAGTAGGCAGAGGTTTGTTTGAAGCTGTGAATGTGTAAGGTTTATTTTATTTTTGTTGTGGTTCTGTTTGAGAGTATTTGGTTCAAGCACAAAGGCAACTAAGATTTTTTTTTTTTTTTTCCCTGAAGGATATGCAATTGGGAGGGGGTTGAGAATAGTCCCAAATTTTACTGCTATAAATATGTCAGAGCCCAAATATATATTATAGGAAAGCTTTCATCTACACCAATTATATCATGAAGTGGGATGAACTATTGTTTATGCAGTGGAATGACATTTGTCATGATGTTGTTGTTGTGTGGTTACTTCCTGATCAGTTCCGAGTAGATCTGTTGTACGTCCCTTCAGATAAGGAGCCATATCAACTACAGAATTACAGATTATCACAGATTTATTAAAAACTCCAGATTTATTTAATAAATGGATGCTTAGCTCTGTGGCTTAGATTACATCAAAGTTATGTTTTATATGTCTGTTTCCAAATGAATTGGGCATAGGAACTTGCTAATGTATATAATTAATGGTGATTGCAGTATGTATATGTTTTTTGTCACAAATATTTTTATGAGGCAACAAATAATTTGTACTTGGCTAGCTGCTGCAGTGAAATCAAGCTGTTATTAACAACAAAAACTTAGTTAAAATCCTGCACTAGGGTGATGGCAGTCATCACTATTTTATATTTAATTTTGTATTAAAAAAACGAAACTAAGGCTGCAGTGAAAGTTGATTTTGAAATCTCTTTTAAAATTTTGAATATCTGGTAATTGTACTATTTGAGTCATCAGTTTTCCTGTGAGTCTGTGTTACAGAAATGACTTCTGAGAAGTAAGAAAGTGCTTCAATATTCATTAATCTGAGAGTACCGCTTGGGAGTTATGGTATCTAAGGCACGGTATGTGTCGTCCATTATAGACTGATTTATTTACTAGCTGTTAAATACGTTTCTCTCTCTTCCAGACTGTTCACTGAGGATGTATGGCTCCTGTTTAACTAGATTTGCTTTTAAAACCAGTGATGTTAACATTGATATAAAATTTCCCCCAAAGGTGAGTAAATGTTCTCTTGTTTTAACCAGGACTGTTCTTTAAATCAAGCCTATCCACAACATTTATTTCTACTCCATTGCCTGCATCCCCTATTGGGACATACCGTGCTCTAATAGCACAAAGCACTTAATCCTTGGTTTGGTATCAGGTGTGCTATAAATCAAGCTGAGAAAGTTTTTATTGCCGTGAGATAACTTTAATTCTGTTTTTATTTTTTATGCTTGCCACTTTTTCATTTTTTGAATAAGCACTGAGGCAATATTAAAAAAAAAAGTTGACTATAAATAAGCATGCTTTTAAGTGCTCAAGGTTTAGACAGTAAAATCTTGTAGGTCTTTGTTCCTATTTATTTATTTATTTTTTATTTAACGGTTGGCTTAAAACTGACAATTTTCCTTTTTATGTGTTAGTCAATTCCAAGTAGATGTCATATCCCAGTTTATAGCTTACTCTGCTCCTCCAGAGCAGTGGAGCTGGCCCGTAGACATTGAAGTTGTTGGTACATTTTTGGTACAGGATATAAGCAGCATACTCTTGTTAAAGAGAGACAACTGCTGAACGTGCTCTTTCATGGACTGTGTGTGCTACAGAGGAATTCCAGATATCTGCTTTGGGTACATATTTGCATATAACATTTTGAAATAATACTGCAGTTAGGAGGCAAAATGAGACCTTTTTCAGACAAGTGCACATTGAGTTCACCATGTCACTTTGTCGTAGAAGCTCAAAGATGGTACTTAGTTTTAGCTTTTCTTTGAACTATTTCAGAGCACATCTTTTAAACACCGTTTCAAAAATGGATAGTTGATTTCTGGGGAAGAGAAGAAAACACATTTTAAAATGTTTATTTCCCTAAGGATTTTTGAAGGTTAACTCTGATGTTAAAATCTAAGTTATTTAGTATTGTATGTTTCTAGTGGCGTATGTTGACTCTGAAATTGCTGAATGTATAGCAAGCATTGTTTTTACTACTGTTCCACAGTAACAGATTTCATAGGGCAAGTGTATTAACTAGAAAAGCTGTAGGCTAAATGAAGAAGATGGCTTATTTACTAGTACCTGTTTTCATGGTGCAGACAGGTACAGTTAATGTTTTAATTAATACAGATACATGGTTTCACTTCTGTTTAAAAAAACAAAAAACAAAAACAAAAACCCATAGTGTTCTTAACTGTGCAACGTAAGCAGTTTTAAACTAAGTGAAAACTGAAATAGGTTGGTCTGAATGATATAATCTGTTCTAATTTTGTCATTTTAGATGAGTCAGCCAGATGTTCTGATACAGGTGCTTGAAATCCTAAAGAATAGTGGTGAGTTATTTACATCTCATTTCTATTTAATTAAATTAACAAAAAATATCACACAATGTATTTACTCAAATAATTATTTAAATTTTTTTTCCTCCAGCCAGTTCAGATCACAATTTATGGTAACAGTGTTAGATCCTGGGTCAGCAAGAGTTTTGTTTTATAGGAGAGATTCCATACAGCAAACCCAGCAGCCACTTTCCACTTGCTTGTGAACATCTGTGAGAACTGTTTTGAGCTTCTGAAACTTGTAGCCTCCTTGTTCTGTCAGGAAGTGGTCTAACCCTGTAATCCGAATGTCTTGAATCGGGTGACATGAGTAGCATTGCATTTTCTGATCCTGCAGGAAATTTTGATCAATTCCACAAGCAGTTCTGAAACAATCCTGGTGGTTTGTTAGAGATATAACCTTGCATCTTTCAAATCTCCTGAAGACAAAGAGGTTCTAAAAGAGATGCCAGCCCAGTTTCCTGACTAGTGCTATTTACCTCTTGGTTGCCTTTCCAAGACTTCATTTAATCCCGGATAACCCCTTAATACAGGACAGACCGTCCTTTTTACATTGATAGGACAAAAGTGCTCAGAAACGCACCTAGTCTGCTTGTGGTCTCTGCAGAGAAACTTGGAGTTTGGCAGTATTCTTCCAGAGACTGTGTTGGATTCCAGCTACCTGCACCCTTGCTACTTCCTCATACTACAGCTTGTTTTGTTAATGCCCACCCAAGGTTTCTTGCCTCTTGAGTAACTTTCTCACTTGTGAAGTGTGTGGTGTGCAAGTCGTATATGATGCTGGCTAATTGGATGCTTAATTCAATAGGACTGCGGTGCAATTATTGCAATTCATTGTAATACCTAAGATTCACCTAAAAAACAAAACAAAACAAACCCAGATAACTTCTGGTTGGTCATCACAACCTGGTCACAAGGACAACAGCTTGAAGGGTTATGTACTTTACCGTGTTTATAGTGTTCTAATTTATGCTGTCTACATAGATTCTGTAATTTGCACCTTCGTCACTACTAATGATTGCTATTCCTTTGTAATTCTGTATTGCTGGAGAATTGCAAAATGGTTGAGCTTTTTCCGTCCTTTGTGTCTTTGAAAAGAGAGAGGGAGGAGGGAGTAGGAGAGTAGCTAGGAGAGAGTGTGGTTCTAGCAGATGCTACCAGCTGTAAGGATCTTGCAGACACAGGCAGAATATACAGCAAGACTAGGCAGGTAAGCAGCATAGCCTTAAGGTCTACATCTGCTATAGGAAAGCAACTTTATTCTTCTCTTTCTACTGGCTGTGTGATACTAATGGTGAGCATCTGAAGTAACCAAGAAGTATTGCTTAGTGTTTACATACACACAACTTGGAACTTGAGTTGTATAAGTGCCTGATATAAATGTTACAGTTTTGAAGACACAATTGGGAAAACTGTGCAAAACTTCTATATATAATGTTTTTTTCCCCCCCTCTTTGCTTAGCTGTCTACTCAGACGTGGAGTCAGATTTCCATGCCAAAGTTCCTGTTGTCTTTTGCAAAGACGTTAAAAGGTACGTGTTATTGAAAAGGATTTTCAGTGAGATACCAATTTCTACTGTGCTTGTTCATAGCAGCTGCTTGCCTTCACTCCTGGCAAGAAGTATTACTGTAACATTTATCTAACTTTCATGTCAAGGGGGAATTGCTCATACACAAGGGAGGTACAATCCAGAAAGAAAGCTTAGCTTTGTTTTTGTGCTTGGACTAGTACATATTCATAGAGCTCGTTGGTTGTAGGAGTCTGAAAATGCCCACTCTATTATAGTTAAATAAGGAAAAAGTAGAATGGTTCTCAGACAATATTTAAAATTTCTGCCAGCTGTTTAATCCAAGATTTTAAAAACATTTTATGAGAGTCACATTTCCAGTAAGGACACATCATCTGACACTTGCAGTAAATTCTTAACAGGTAGTAACCGCCAAAATGAAATGTAGTTGCTGTATGATGATGCACATTGCTTTGACTGACTATGGATTAGATCTTACTAGTCATTCCAGCCTGCTTTTTAATTTTTTTTCCGTGTATGAAAAATACACTTGGAGTTTGAGTTGTGTAAGATTGCACAATTAAATAATGGCAAAACTTAAGCAAATTCTTAATGACATTTTGTGTTTTTAGCTGTGATGGACTTCTGTAAGTTATAGATCCAACTCGTGAGTTGATAGTAAAGAAAATATTATATTCTGTAGCTTCCATTAAAAAGGTCAGGTTCTTACACAGAGAGACATTTCAATGTATGATTTTAGTATGATGGGTTTTACTCAGAGAGATAAGTGTTTTTTTTCTTCCTGCCTTGTTATGTTTGTAATTGCAGTGGTTTGACATGTAAAGTGAGTGCTAGGAATGATGTGGCTTGCCTTACAACTGACCTGCTGGCTGCACTTGGGAAACTGGAGCCTGTCCTTATTCCCTTGGTTTTGGCTTTCCGTTACTGGGCTAGAGTAAGTTTATAAATATTAAGGTTATTTTAGTATGTTTATTTCATCTTTTTAAGTACTATGTACAGTGCAACATATACCATGAGTATGTTTATAGAAAAGAACTTCTCACCACTGGTTTACCACTGTTACGTGAACAGGCCAGAATGAGACTGAAGATTTTGGTGTGCAAAAAATGTGTGTACATTTCTGAAGCTTCCACTGTCCCATTAGCAAGCTATTCTACTAGAACTGTTCCTTAAAAAACAGCTCGACAGAGCAATGCAAAACTTACTACTATCTAGGTAGCATTAAAAAAAAAAAAAACTGATTTGCTCAAAAAAGGGGCCATTGTCATATCCTGCTGTACTTCCTCCAGATATCAGTGCTGATCACAGGAACAAAGTTGTAATGTTCACAGTCAGTATTTAACTGTCTTTTAATTGAATTCTGAAACTTCTGTCAAGCAGTATTTGATTTATAATGTCTTGGCTTTATTGAAAGATTAATTGTATAGTATTCTTGATTGATTTTTAGCAAGGCCTTTTTACAAAAATAGCTATTCTACAACATGTAAAGACACAACAGTAAAAACTGCAAAAGAGAACTGTTTGAAGTCTAATGTATGTATTGTCTCTCTTGACTTCCATGGATGATTTCAGCCAGGCACACGGAATCCCCATCTCTGTATGTGAGATATTGCACACGAATAAATATCTGACAGTATAATGTGATTCTAGATGGAACATAAATGCGTCCCACAATCACAAAATGTGATGAAACTAAAGAGGATAACAGATGATAAAACAGTGCAGCTAAAGCATTTTACAGATTTTAGTTTACGTTTTTTCTTTAAGTGACTGACATACGTGTATGATTTTAAATGTAGCTCATTTAATAATGCAAGAAAGTAGATGTCTTGTATTCTGAGTTGATCACAGACGAGCAATAGGTGACTGAGAATTCCTTGTAGTAGTTTACAGTTTCTGTCTGCATCTATACAGCAAAATGTAATGCTTACATTGTGCACTGCCGTTTCTGAGAGAAAGGGTTTTCTGTTCAGCTTTAGCGTGTATCTCGTGTTTCTTTCGTATTTGTACTTTTGTAATGTATTTTAATTGAAAATACTGATGTTACATCAGCAAAGTAACAATTTATTCTCTTATAGCTGTGCCACATTGACTGCCAGGCTGAAGGTGGGATTCCCTCATATTCCTTTGCCTTAATGGTGATATTTTTTCTTCAGCAAAGAAAACCACCTATTTTACCATCCTATTTGGGCAACTGGGTAAGCATTTTGATAATATAGTAACTCTACTGTTAAATTTTTGAGGCTGTTTCTGTGCTCTATGAGATCATAAAATGCATTGAATTTGGTTGCTTAAGAAATTTATAAGTAAAGTACATTGGTACTTACTCTTCTACAGTTGATGCCCGATGATTCTGATAATCTTATAAAAGACAGCTACTGTGGCAATTGTGAAATGCTGTGTTTTGGAGAAAAGGGAAATATTTTCCCTTTAATTCTCTAAATTTACTTGTCTGGCTTGAAAGCGATAGATACCACAATTGTCAGTGTTACTTCTAGTGAAATCTTTTTGGTTGTGTATATTATATACAGTCTTGTTTCAGAGCTACTTTAATTGTTGTTAGATTGAAGGCTTTGATTCAAAGAGACCAGATGACCACCAACTGAAAGGTATAGAAGAAGAGTTTGTACGGTGGGAGTACAAACCATCAACTAACGGTTCAGGAAAAAACTCAGTTGGAACAGAAGGCAAAACTAAAGTTGAACAACAAAAAGGTGGCGGTAAGAAGGTGACAAGCTCAGAAGTGGACAACCAAAGTAATGCGAAGGAGAAACATGGCAATGTAAGTCACTGTTTTATTTCAGTGAAAATTGTATTCCTTCTCTTATCCCTGTTTTTGATCTTTAAACATTAATATCAGAAGGAACCTGGAAAAAAATGTGAATTTTCATTTCTTATTACAGCTGAGCGTTCTTGTCAATCTGTTTCAGTCTCCCTTAGCATTCAGAACCCCTCACCAAGTTTCACTGGGGCAACTGTGGTTAGAACTGTTGAAGTTTTACACACTGGAATTTGCTTTGGAGGAGTATGTCATCAGTATACGGGTACAAGAACTCTTAACCAGAGAGAACAAAAACTGGCCTAAAAGGCGAATAGCCATTGAAGGTAGGGTTCTTTCAGATCTATAGTTACAATGCGTTATTATCTTTACTTATCTAACACTTACAGGTCTGTTACAACGTGTCTGGTTACATCATATGTAAATGGAGGAAAAAGTACAGTTTTTTGGGGTTTTTTTTATCAGCTATTTAGTCTGCTTGAAGACAAGTTTTCTGTCTAGCACTGTTTTGTAACTAGTTCTTGAAATACAACGTGCAATTTTGTCTCACTGTTTCTTACCATTCTGTTCTTATCTCCACCTGTTTCATTTTTTATAAATCACTTGTTTTTCCTTTTTAATCATTCTGGTAATATGAATTTTCAGTACGTATATCTGAGTTTCCAATGCCGCAAAGTATTTTGAGTGGTGCCAGCTATCAGTTTGTTTCCTCTGCTTCTGATGCAGACTCTGCAGAGAGGTTAGCTCTGATCGGAGTGAAGTGGGGCAAATTCTTTGAAGTAAAAAGCTCCCTCCCCTTTCAGTAATATTTCTATAACGTGAAGCTGTCATAGACTGTGCATGTCATAGACTGTGCTTCAGGATCTTGGTCTCCTGCTGTGGGCAGTGCCTGTGGAGGACTGAGACCATATGAATCTGATGGTAGTGTATAGCCTGGGTTAATGCGTGTGAGGGACAGAAGGCAAAGAAAGAAAATTATTTTGCCTATTGTTTCTTCATGGATGATGTTGATGAATTAGATTTCTTGTAACACATAGGAAGTGAGAGAAGGGAGCTTGTGGCTTGAATTTCTTCTCATAGTTCTTTTCTTGAATCAATCTGAGCTAGAGAGCTTTAAGAAAAAAAGTGGTATTTGGTCAGCAAGGGGGGAACTAAAACCTATAAGATGAAAGGATTGATTCTTGAGAAAGAAGTAGGAAGGTATTTTTAAAAAGAGATTGCGTTCTGGTTCTGATACCTGTTGCTGTTTTTTATGTTAAGTTTGTAACTGAAGTTACAAAGAAGGCAACAGAAACTCAGTTTGGTATCATCTTCCCAGGCAAATTTCTAGCATTCATGCAAGTGCTCTTTTTACTTGGAAAAATAGTTGATCTAGAAGTCACTAGGAAAGACTAAGAATGAAACCTAGTGAGATTGGTTCATATAATCGATTTTCTTAATGTCAAGTTTAGAAATTAATTTCTTAAGGGAAATGCAAATCCTCCTTCAGTGAAGGAGAAATGTGTGGGCAGAGTTGCTCAAACATTTATTTGGCCTTTAGATGTTTGTTTTCATTTCTGATTTTGAAATTGACCATACTGTAATGCTACAATATACCTGTGTTTTTCTTTTAAAGTACCGTATTTAGGATTGTCTATACTAGTACTGTGTTTTGTGTAGAGGCAATCCAAAAAGCCTTATTGGCTCTAGAGTCTGTAAGTATATCCATATGTGGTTCTGGACTATATTATAAGAATCTCTAATTTGTAACTGCAACGTCATAACTTGGTATTTCAACTGCTTTAGTCTGGAATTGCTATTTGAAATGCAGCAATCAATGATTACTGATCAAATTGTTCTTTTTTTTTTTTCTTAGATCCTTTTGCACTAAAGAGGAATGTTGCACGAAGTCTAAATAGCCAGATGGTATTTGAGTACATCCTGGAGCGATTTAGGACAGCATATAAATATTTTGCATGTCCGCAGAGTAAAGATGGAATTAAATCCAAACCAGATAGCAAGAAAAAAGAAAAAGGGAAAATTAACAATAAGAAATCCACAAGGTCTGAAGAACCTGTAGCCAACTGTTGCCTTCCACAAGGGGAAAAAGTTGCAGATAAACAAAATATAGGAAGTGGATGTAACATACCAGGGAATGAACTTGAATGTAATGAAATAGTAGAATCTGGTGCCAAAAGATACGCTTCCAAGAACATAGACTCTTTGCTACTTTCAACTTTGGACTCTAATTATGATGAAGACAAAGAAGAAACTTTATCCCTTATTTCTAATGAATGCTGTGAATTAAAGCAAAAATCACTTAAAGAGAGGGATGATGTAGAAATTTCAGGAGTTTGTCTAACTGAAGGTGAGCTAAGCCACCGTTGTAACTGCAGTGAACATCAGTCTTATGACACAAATTCTAGTAATGGATTTTCTGATGCTGAAAGTAGACCGAGTCTGGTAACCGAGTCTTCTCAGAAGAGTAAGTGCACTGGCACAACAGCTACCTCGCGCAACTGCAAAGCAATGGTGGAAGCTCATGATCTTAAAGAGGAAGGCAGACTCTCTACAGAAGAAATGCATTATGTGTTTGATAAGTTTATTTTGACTTCAGGAAAGGTAAGCTGTGTATTTAAACAATGCTGGTCAAAGGGTAGTTGGCTGACAGGACTCTCTAGCTGCTCTTCCAGTCTCTGCTATGAATGGTAACTCAAGCCATTTTAGGGTACCTGGTTTTCAGGACTGGAAAACACTGAATGTGGTACCATTTGGACTAGAAAGTCTGTTGCCCGATCCTGTTCAAAGCTTTTGATTTCCGCAGAAAAGGTCCTGTTTTCTTTTCTGCCTCTCCCCTGGTTTCTGGTAGAATTTCTGGGTGCTGTTTACACACTGTGAGGACTAAACGTAGGGAAGCTTTTCTGTTCTTTGTGGAGACTCTGTTACTGTTCAGATGTTAAATGTTCTTGGTTGCACCAAATACATGGAAATGTTATGTCTGGCTGACTGTCTTAAAATAAAAATTGAATTTAAGTACTCTTATTTTTTTCCAAAGCCACCAACTATAGTATGCAGCATCTGCAAGCGGGATGGACATTCCAAAAATGACTGCCCAGAGGATTTTAAGAAAATTGATCTAAAACCACTACCACCAATGACAGACAGATTTCGGGAAATACTTGACATAGTGTGTAAGAGATGTTTCGGTAAGTTAGAATAGTATATTGCACTCCACTGCAAACTATGATTTGTGACTTATTAAAAAACAAAAGCTATAGGTTTAAATTACTTCTTCCATTAAATTCAGTAGGAAGAAGTTCTCGCAGGTAGTTTAGACTACAAATTGACCGATATTCTTATTTTCACTTCATTTAATCCATAGCTGATAGCAAGTTCTCGTAATGGATTTGAAGAACTAAAGCTATACAGAACTTTTCACACCCCTTCTGGCTGTCTATGATTGAGTAATTGCAGTAAAGACAAACATCTGAAATGAAATCCAAGCAACTCTAGTGACATCATGAAAAGAAAGAAAAATATTTTAATAGATCTTAAAGCAAATGTGACAAAGTGTCCAATAATTCTGATAATCTGAAAAGGATTTTTGAGGTTGAATGTCAAATCTGACTGTGTTTTAACTTTTTCTTTTTTATTTAGATGAATTATCCCCTCCTTTGTCAGAGCAGCAAAACAGAGAACAAATTCTGGCAAGTTTGGAAAGGTTCATTCGAAAAGAGTATAATGGTATGTAACAGTAGGTAGCAATTCTTGTTAATACTGCTTTCATTCACACTGTCCAGAGCATGATAATGTAACTGTTCTCCTTATTGCTTGTTTTCCTTGTTTAAAGCAGTGGCATCTATTTTTCCTCTTTACACAGACATATCTTGCAGACTTCTAAATTGAGCACCCCTCATATGTTATTCCATGTGCGTGTCTCAAGAACAAAGGAAAAGCTGCAAGCATGATTACACAGATACAGGACTCGTGATGTTATTGCAGTGAGGGCAAAGAAAGTTCACATGAGCTCTGGCCAATTGGGTGTAGTGTTATCTTGGTTCTGGTCCAAGGACTTCTGTTGCCTAGTCACCAGCATTTGAGTGTCTCAGAAATCATAATGAGTTTGTATCTCCACATCACTCGTATAAATAGGAAAAAGTATCTTATTGCAGTGATGGAAGTCTAAGGCAGAGATGTAAATATGAGGTGGTGTTAACTAGTGTTAGAGGCAGGTATTGAACACTGGTCTCCTGCCTTGCAGTTTGTTGCTTTATGCAGGAGGCCATGCCTTCTTCTGTAGCTGGCCTGGGATCAGGCAGCTGTGAATTACACTTCCATCCTCCCGCTGTGCCCTGTGCTTATTGGCAGCAGCTGAGGATTGAAGCCTGTTACAGATCCTTAAAGGACTGAAGATTTCTGATTTCATTAAAGGTTAGGAAATAGCCACAAATAAGTGGATATACTTTCCAAGCATGATTGCAGTTGAGCTGATAAATGTGTTATTTTATATTAAGAAGAAATTGCTTCTTCTCATCTATGTAACTGTGCTTTCCATTAGAAAAGTAAAAATACATTATAATCTTGTGTTTCAAATTAAAATGTGAACAAAACAACTTGGACCTAATGTTCCATAAAATATATTAATCTTAACGCTCCTGTCTTGAACAATAGATTATGATTACAGAACAGATACTGATTGGGCAAACTTGTCCAGCCAAAAAAAAAAAAAAGAGCAACCTAGATGAAATATCTATGGAACCAAAAGAGTGCCCTAAAAGTACCTCTGTCTTATCTGTAGGGTTAAATTGTAGTAATGACTGGCTTTTCACACTTCTCAGATTCATTTAAACAGTAAAATGGAGTTGCATATCACAGGACATTTCAGCATGTGTAAAAATGCTACTTAATGGTTAGTGAGTCTGTAAAATATCTAGCTTACAAAAATTAACACGTTTTGATTCTGCCTCACAAGTTACATGTTTTGATTCTGCCTCACTTTCTATACATCAGTTCAAAATACTGTGCTTCCTCGTTTCTCAAGGATGAAGTCTTAGAAGTGTCGTTGGAAGCTCTGTCTTAAAACTTGTTCAATATATTGCACTTCTGCATCTCAGTTAAGCAGTATTTCATAATAAGCAGTCATTGAAATGTAACAGAACCTATTTTGTGTCCGTTCCCCCCCCACCGCCCTTTGATCTACTCTTTTGATCAGACAAAGCCAGACTTTGCTTGTTTGGCTCTTCAAAGAATGGATTTGGGTTTCGTGACAGTGATCTAGATATCTGCATGACCTTGGAAGGCCATGAAAATGCAGAGGTAAGAGTTTTGAGATTGTTGCAATTTACTGTTTTAAATTTAAGAATTTTTTAAGGTTTTTCACTCTAGGATTTCTTTCCAAAGAGTAGGTAGATTTTTGCATTAATAGCACACTGACTTGTTGAACTCTACGCAGCTGAAGCAAGATACAGCTTAATCTACTTGTAATGCCCTCTAGACGCACTTAGTATACTATACATATCCATATAGAGAATGTGAGTCACCGGTGTACAGAAATGGATGCTTTGATTTGTTGCTTGCTTCTTTTTGCACAGGCTTTTGCTCTATAGAATGTATTGTTTCATGGTAAATTTGCTTGTGGGTATAGGATCCGTACTTTAACATCTGAAGCTGTTCTATTTGTTTTTCCTAGAAATTAAACTGTAAGGAAATAATAGAAGGTTTGGCAAAAGTTCTTAAGAAGCATCCAGGTAGTTGTTTTTACATATTGTTTGGTTTATGTTTACATTTAATATATATATAGTTAATGGAAATATTTTATGTACTAAAGTCTTGCCTCTCCAGGTTTGAGAAACATCTTGCCTATAACAACAGCCAAAGTGCCTATAGTAAAATTTGAACACAGACGAAGTGGTTTAGAGGGAGACATCAGTTTATACAATACGCTGGTAAGCATGTAGTTGTGTCTGGTTTTATGTTTGTAGAGAGCTTTTTGATTTCTGGAGAGGTTTTTGTTTGTTTATTTGTTTTGTTTTACAGTTTTGAAAGTTCTACGTAATACACAAAATCATTTGAGGGAATAATTTTGAGTCCAGAATTAAAATACTGTTGTTGTTTTCTTCATTATTTAAAATCAGTGGCCCATACCCTCAGTCCAGCCTGAATAGTTGTATACCATGATAGCACAGCAGCCTCATGGCACGCAGCATTTTTGTGAATGTTCCTGACAAGCTGTTAGTGCTATGGTTGCCACGGCCTTTCAGTCATTCTGAGTAGTATGTCTCATCCTAGTTCTTGTTTCATACAATGAAATTCCATTATTTCATGTGAAACGGGCTCACGTTGCCTGCAAGGAAGACGATACAGTTTGTGGAATTTGTTCCAATACGAGTCTCTATGGACTAATTTCTTTGCTGGTGTTTTCCAGGGTTGTTTTTGTTGTTGTTACACTAATACTGGCCAGGACTCACCTTTCATTTATGTTTATGCCAGAAACTGTTGCAGGAATGTTACTGAGTATTGCTTTCCCACCTGCCATTTATATTATGCATCCCTAGTGCTTGAACTGCAGGCTATACTGTAATAAACCATACCCTTTTTTTTGAAGCACCTGTTTGATTTTTTTTTTTTCCAGGCACAGCATAACACAAGAATGCTCGCTACATATGCAGCTATTGACCCTAGAGTGCAATACCTGGGTTATACAATGAAAGTTTTTGCAAAGGTAATATAAAATGAAGGCTTCTTATTTGTGTAACTGTTTTCTGATTCAGCCCCACTGAGTTTCGCTTTTGCTAATGCCGACTGGAAAGGAGACAACTTCACATTATGCATATAAAGTGCACTTTCTTAAGCTGACATACCATAGAACTAACTTCTGACTTCAAAAATCCACCCTCTGTTTCTATTAAAGAGAGTAATGTTGCCAGCATATTTTCTAGCGCAAAAATTAGTCTTCTGCTCTATGTTGAACGATTTTTTTTTTTTTCACAAGAGAAAGCTGATGTCCTGAAAGGAGAACTTTCTTATGTACTTCCATTTCAAACCAACTACCTTGCAGAAAAATCCCCATTAAAAAATAAACAGTAATTGTAGGACGTAGGGGCTAGATGTGAATGGGCTGGAGTCCTGCTTCCTAAGTGTATGTATCTAGGACCATCCCGGAGATTATTGCAGCTTCTCTCTGGTCTCCTACCTTCTTCTATAGAAGCCAAGGAGTGTGAGGGGGATGATGTGTGCACAAATCTCAACTTCATGCTGATATGCCTAGGACATGCACTTGGTTTTAAGAATTTGGAAAGGTTGTGGTTCTCTTTAATATTTTAAAGAAAAACCCAAAGACTCCTGCGTCTTTTTTTTTTCCTCTTAAAATACTGTAGCAAAGTCTTACAGTTATTTTTTGGTCAAGGAGATCTTGCAAGTAACTTATTATGCAGCGTCTGATAATTTAAACATGATATAGCTCTTTCTTCAAGCTGCACTGTTAAATAAGCTCCCCCAACACATCCAAGGAAATCTTAGCCTGTATGTGAGAAATGTAATTGTTGCAGAAAGTACTTTAGGCTACCAGGTGTTAGTGTAATAAAATGTATCAAGATAAGTAAAATAACTTTGTTCCAGAATGGGATGGACATGTATTCATTACACTGTCACCAAGACCTGTAATGATTTTTTTTGTGTGTATGTGTGCGATCTCAGTAGTGCAGAATATTGCTGCGCCTTTTCTATGCCTAGATTAAAAATGTCATCTATTGATAATAATGAATCTTACATTTTTATAGTATTGCATGCATTCCAAAAGGCTACTGTGAAGAAGGCGTTCTCAAAGTCAGCTACACATACACACAAATGTATGGAAGTGATTTCAAAGCTGTACAAATACTCTCTGTTTAGGCAAAATGCTTCCCCCTGTGTATGCATTGGCACAAAACCAGGAAGAGCTGTCATTGCTGTTTCTAATGTGAAAGTGGTTTGTGAATTCATGCTTTTTTCAGACTTGGAAATTAAAAATATATTTATCCTTATGACACACACTTGAAGAATAAAAGTGTAGCTTAGAAACCCATGTTTTAAAAAGAGTACATTGTAATAAGATTTACAAGCCTAGTAAGGTAGTTCACTGATGTCTGTGTTCTGTGTTTTGCACTGGCTGGGCCATGGTTTGATTAGATAAATGTAGGCAATACTTGCGTTTTGCTACCATAGCATAAGTTGCCGATGCAACATGGAAATCATGGAAATACTTAGCTATTACTTTTTCTTTTTTTTCTTTTTTTTAAAGGAAACTGAAACAATAAGGATTCATAGAAACAGTTCTGGTAACGTGAACTTAGGAAAAATTTAATTTTACAGTATTGAAACCTAGACATCAGACACTGGGGTTTGATGGGGCTTTCTTTTTTGGGATTTTTGTTTTGTTTTCTGTTTTTGGCTCATGAGAAACTAAAAGATATTTTGACCATGAGAAGGTTTCTTTTTTTATGCGAGTCAAATTATGTTCTGGGTTTGCCAGAAAACGTTTGACTGTAAGACACTTATTTTTGGGGGCTTTCTAAAACAATTGTTATTTTGTTCAGCGCTGCGACATTGGAGATGCATCCCGAGGGAGTCTGTCTTCGTATGCCTATATCCTTATGGTTTTGTACTTTCTGCAGCAGAGAAACCCACCGGTTATTCCAGTTCTTCAGGAGGTAGGCTTCCAGAAAAAGAGGCTGTGAGAATAACTTTTTCTTTTTTTTCAACCAGACCTGTTTCTTCGAACCAGACCTGAGAACCCTAGTCTTTTAGGATTAGGGGGACAAATGAGAAATGTGGTCCTTCTTCATTAGCAGGTTCCTAACTTCAACTTTCTTTTGTGGTAAATCTTATCAAGAAAATTACTACAAAATCTGGAATCTATGTTGAATTTAGTTGCTGCCATTAAATATACTTTTGAGATTTTGGTCTTACAGTGATACCAATGTGCTGCGCTCGATAGGGAGAAATTGGCAGGTGGGATGGAGAGAAGGGAATTGTAATTATGAGACTGTGACAGATGCTCTTGAGATTTGAGTTCAGGTCTTCCATCAGTTATTGTCAGATTATTTAATGCTCAGCTTTTTATCTATAAAAGAAAAAAAATCCAACTTGGTAAGGGAAAAAAGATAACTAGTGTTTTGGTACAACTTTGAAGATATTATCTTACATGTGTCAGGAAATTTTATTTTAAAAAAATAACATTCTGTATCTCCATTGCCTGTGGGTGGGTGGATCAACTATCTCCCTCTCCCTGGATACATGGGAACTCCCAAGCACGTCTGACAATTACCCCTTTCTGATTTATTTATTTATTTATTTATTTTTGGTCGTCTGTCTGCAAGAGGAAAATTGGCTTAAACATTGCAGTTGAGACTCTGACTTTCTCACTGACACTTCAGTAGTGGTTGGGGGTTGTTATTTTATTGTTACCCCTGAGAGTGCATTTAAGTAACAATGGAATTTCCCTTTGGCTTTGCTGAAATTAAGTAGTAAGAAGAAGTTGTAATAACTCATATAGAGTCTCCTTAGAGATTTTGTGGGCCAGAGGGCTGTCTGAAACTTGATGAGGTAATTCTGTCATATTTTCTTATTTGTAAAGAGCAAGTAGAATAAAGTATTAGAATACTTGATATAGAGGAAGAATTTCCCGTTGGTAAAGTGTGTTTGAAGCTCTTTTTGGATTATTACTGTCCTTTCTCAAAGTAATTGCTATAATTAAAAAATAGGTCTTTTTGTGCTATCCTGTACCAGCAAGGCTGCAGCTCTTTTATGGTGATTTTAAATTAGAGTGGTAACTATGCCCTCTATTTCTGCAGATATTTGATGGAAAACAGATTCCACAGAGAATGGTGGATGGATGGAATGCCTTTTTCTTTGATGACATGGAAGAACTGGTAATATTTTAATTCTAGAAGAACACTAATGCTGAAGGCTTGTTTTTATGGGAAAGTGATACATTTGTAACAGTGTAATTGATAAAAGACTAGCTATAACTATCATAACTGTATTATTATAATTTCCCACATGAATCCTGTTTTTCTGGAATGAGTGGCTGCTTTTTCTTGATTTATCTCAAATCATTTCTAAGTAACATAAATGAAACTAGGAAAAAAAAATACTTTTAACTCTTCATAAGTAGGCCTGGATTGGGGTAGCCTTAACTGTGGTGATTTGTAGTCACACCTTACCTTCACCAGGTGAAACTCCATGGTAGAAAAATTGATAGTTAGAGAGGTAGTTGAGGAGGAGGAGAACTGCTTGGGTAACTGTACCTGTCTAAATTGTATCTTCAATTGCATGCAGAAGAAGCGTCTGCCTTCTCTTGGAAGGAACACAGAGTCCCTTGGAGAGCTCTGGTTAGGGTTGCTGCGATTCTACACTGAAGAATTTGACTTCAAGGAGTACGTGATCAGCATTCGGCAGAAGAAGTTATTAACTACGTTTGAGAAACAGTGGACGTCCAAATGTATTGCCATTGAAGGTACTTATCTGCTTAATTTTGTCCCCTTAATGAAGGAGGAATGTACACAGTTGCTCCAGATGTGTTCTCATTATTGCACAGGATCTTTATGTAAGGAAACTACCATCCACATTAAAAAAAAAAAAATTGTTTGTAAGTCCTACAGCTTAGCAAGGAGGAGATTAGACTCCTGTTTTCATAGATGTGTGTAAATTATTGTTACTTTATTACGATTAATCATACTTTTAAAATATGTCAGTTGCTTTGCCATCGTCTACTCAGCGAGTGTAATTAAAATGGGATTGTCTGTATAGAAATAAAAATTTCTGTTGCAGCATATCTTTTGCAACTCTTAGAGTTGTTTTTCTCCCTTCTTTGCACAGATCCGTTTGACTTGAATCATAATCTTGGTGCTGGAGTCTCTAGGAAAAGTAAGCCATTAAAGTGTACTGAGGATTAATGCTCACTGATTTCTAAAGCTTTGTGCCTATTCTGTTGTTTTCCAATAATGTTGTCTTTCTTCAACAGTGACCAATTTCATAATGAAGGCATTTATCAATGGGAGGAAACTATTTGGTACCCCGTTCTACCCAGCTGTTGGAAGAGAAGCTGTAAGTTTTCAGTTTTGTGAAGCTTTCAGTTGTATTTTACCTTTCTCTGTCCACTATAATGATGCATCGATAGCAAATGTCTTTTATATCTTGATTGTTTTGGTATGCATAATACATGTAATTAATTGTACATCGTCTGCGTAACATGTACAGCTTAGTTTTGCACTTCTGTGATATAAAATATGGAGTAGGAATCGGGTTGGTATTTTTGGCAATTTCGGGGAAAGTTAAAAAAATTTTTTTTTGGGAAGAGTTTTAGTAGCTATTTGTGTAGCTAAAGAAAATAAATAGACTTGCAAGATATGGCATGTATATCAGTGTCAGAGAGTGGGGAAAAGAACAAGTGCCATTGAGGGAGGGAAAAGGGGGATGAAAGATCAACTTTTTGTTATTAGTCGACCTTCAAAACGTGTATAATGAATCACTGTTAGGAATATCCATATCAAAAATAACTCTTTTCTGCCACAGGGTGCAGTCATTGCTGCATAATAGAGAACTTTTTTTTTTTTTGATGAGCAAATAAATTAGCTGGAATTAATATTGTTAATATCTACTTGAGAAGATGCTTTTTAAGACGTTTTAGGAGTGTTCTCCTGGAGGCTTTCAACAGGGCTTGTGCTCCTAAGTTGCGATGTGATTTTGAAAATCTCTGTTTCTTTTGTTTCTGTTTTTCTTTTATAATGTATTTCTTGAAAACCCTTTGGAATGTGAGCTAGCAGCCTGGGTACACAGGAAAGGAGATTTATTTCTCCTCATCCCTCCTTATCTCATTCCATTTGCTGATTCTTTGTGCAGTTTTTCTTAGTTTGTATTGTATGTTCTTTCGTGTAATGACTGTGTCTTATTTTGTTTTGTGCTGTGCCTAATAAAATAGGACCTGAATTTTTTTGTGGTTTTTGAGTGCTACTGTGATATAAATAATGAATTGCTGTGTTGGATGTAGTTATTTATATTTGACAAATGTGTGAGCATGTGTAGTAGACATTATTGCAAATTATTTTTAGGTTTTTTAGCAACGTGTTTGCATACATGCTCAACGCAATGTTATAGTACTTGTGGAAAATAGGATGTTCTTAGGTTTGTTTTGTCTTATCTCAGGTTTTCACTGAATGCTTTTACCTAAGTATAAAAGGCAAGACAGCAAGTAGCCTTTAGCATGCGTATGAGCTGCCCCTTATGTGAAGGAAGTCGTGCCAATAGTATTACATAGCATTTTCCTTATTCAGAGTGCTTAACAAACAAGCAGTTCTCAGTCTCCTACCCTAGCTAATACCCCATGTTGTCGCTCAGCGCTACTGAGAGCAAAGTGAAGCCAGAAGGTTGAGAGAATTACCTAAGGCGACGGTAGGACTTTGTCCCCAAGCTGGGGTTAGGACATCTCCATCTGGGGTTCCAGTTCAGTGTTTCAGACAAGATAAGTACTTTCACAATGTTTGTACAGCTCAGAGGCTGTGAACTGTGGCCTTTGCCCTGACATATGACAGAACTACAGTTGTCCTTAGCAGCTCCAGGCAACGGACGTAAGCTAAGTCATTGACCAGATGCTACATCTGTTCCCTACCGTGAAAAGATGTTTATGATTTGTCACGTGATGTAGGCACCTGAGCTTTGTTTGGTCTAGAGGGATCTAATCATGCCGTTTGAGAAGGGCTGTGGGCTGCTTCAGAAAGCATACAAGCAGGAACTCAAGATGCCAAAATAGATCATATGCAAAATGTTGCCCATATCTTCTGAAGAACCTTTGGAAAAGGTGTTGGGGGAGAGGTGGGAGGCTGGAGCCTGGATAAATGTTGTGCAAACTGAGCCTGTGTTCCTCAGGCTAAGTATCCTTTTTTAGACCAAATTACTCCATATCTCCTCAAAATGTTGCCTTTATCTAGAGGGCAAAAAGAATAGTTATAACCTACAAAGAAGTAAATTTAGGGAACAGTCAGAGAAGAAAGTTATCCATTATTCTTTCTTTTCTCTGTCCTGTAATTCAATGGTTTTATACATTGTGTTTGTTCGTGTTTCGATAGGAATACTTTTTTGACTCAAAAGTGCTGACAGATGGGGAATTGGCGCCCAATGACAGATGTTGCCGTGTCTGTGGAAAAATTGGTCACTACATGAAAGACTGTCCAAAGAGGAGAAGGTAAACAATATATAAGTAAAACTAACACTTTACAATTAAAATCTTTGAAGTCATGTTACATCAGGAGAGATTTGGGGATTTGCATTTTTAATGGAAATGAAGAGCATGCTGAATTGCAGAGACAGCCAGAGCTTCAGGTCTGGTCCTGACCTTCCCACCCTGTTTTTGCCTTTCTTGGACTATTTCTGGTTACCCCTTTAAATCTTAGAGTGTTCATGCAAGCGCATGTAGAGTAAAATCAGTGATCTGTGGGTTAATATTTTTGCTTCATAATCTATCTTTAATGATCACTGACCTTAAAATGTAGGTCAATAAGTTTTTTTTATTTGTTTCTTTGTTTTTTAGTAGTGTAAATCTTAAAATGGTCTTAAGACCATATTACCTGATTGCACAATCTGTAACTTATTACAATGGGTTTCCTGTAGTGATCATCTTGGAAAGGCAGATTTGCATTGCTCTGTAGATCTAACAACATACCTCTGCAAGCTAGATAAAAGTTTTTTGTTTAAAATCTAGGGGTAATTAAAATATGCATAGGTATGTTAGTTGTATTTCTGTACCATCATACTAGTGTCATCACTTAGTGATTGTGCCCTTGCACATTAGTTGCACTTAGGAATATTGGATCCAGCACCCTTGAAAAAGGATGGTCCCTAGTATATGCAGGTCCATGTCTCCAAAGAGTTCAGCAAGAGTTGGCAAAGAACCTGCACTCCTTGCTTTTTTACTACTTTGGACTTTTAATGACACATTCAGTATAGAGTGTCTGACTCCTAAAAACCTGTTGAAGTCCTTATAAGTTATTAAAGACAACAAGAGTTGTTAATAACAACTCGTTATTGTTAAAGACTGAAGTCTGGGCATTTTGATTTACTCCTTATGTTGAGATGTGTGCCCCATGATTCTTTAAAATAAATTGTTTCTTCCTTCTGCAAAGTCCCATATTATTTACAGCCTTTGATTCAGTCAGGAGAATTCAAGATAAATGGAACTGCACTTGGACCTCAAGGTCACAGGCTGACCATTTCGTTCAGCTTCTCCTTTAACATGTTCCTCAAACACTAGCACTTCAAATTGCACCACCTCTTTCTCTATATCAGCCTTGGGGAAAGGAGTTGTCATCTATTCTTCACATAAAGTTGCTGCTGCAATGCAGTTATATAGAACGTCTCTCAAATTGTGTCTCACAAAATTTTATTAACACTTAACATTCCTACAGACATCATGGGGAAAAAGACCTTTACTTCTCACCTTGGTTCCTAATTGCTAATCCTTCTCCTGTTTGTTATTTTAATACTTAATGTTTGAACGGGAATCCGTGCTTTCTTTCACATCCTGTCTAGGCTCAGGGTGCTAATACGCTCTTATAGAGAAATACTCCATCTCCAGTCAGATGGAGGGATATCTACAAGATATAGCTGACTTGTTTTGCCTGTGTTCTGATTTAATGGGACTGTAGCATAAAACTACTCCCAGACTAATCAGCAGGCTAAGCCTGCTTAAGCACAGATACAGTTCTGCACTAATATGGGCAGATATCTTCTAGGTGGTGTTAGGGAGCTTGTAAGCTCATTAAGTTTGTACAAACTGGTTGTTAACCAGCCTTAATTCTGAAGGTGTTTTCCTGGGACTCCTATGATATTCTGGTACAGTTATTGGTTATGTAGCCATTTCCTTTGAGCGTACCTGTTTACTACTGTGCAGAGATTTGTTTTGTGTGTGTGTGTGGTTTTTCCACTAGCACTAATAAACATTGTTATTAAGGTTGAAGAAAAAGGAGAATGAGAAAGATGATGAAAAAGAAGTGAAAGATGATGATAGAGAAACAAGAGAGAAAAGATGCTTCATCTGTGGGGATGTGGGTCATGTTAGAAGAGATTGTCCTGAATTCAAGCAAACGCGACAGAGAAATAATAGTGTGCCAGGTAAATAAGTATAGCATGTGTGTGTGTTTAGTAGTATTTGAAAGTTCTGAGGTCCCTTCTTTCCCTGGGTTTCTATACAGACCTGATAAATATCTTCAAATTTTCTGCAACTAATGCTTGCTTTCAGTCATTGCAAACACAGGCTTTAGTCAAAGTGTTACTTTTCTCCAAGGGAAGTAATGCCTCTTGAAGTACAGTCTTTATATGGATGGGTGGGAAAAATGTGCTCAACAGTAAACATGGTCTACTTCACAGTATTATATCATTTGTCTTTTGCTCACAATGGGTGCACTTAGGAGTAGTAATAGTAGTAATAACTGAATGCATTTCCTCTTCCAAGTGTTTATCAAGTGTTAGCTAATGCTACATCATCTACAAGAGGTAAGCAAGTATCCTTTCGCCAAGAATTAGTTGTCTTAAGTTAGACTTTCGAAAGCATGCAAGTGAATTGGGAAGCTAGATCTGGCTTTCAAATTACTGTTAGGAATTAGAGAGACAAGTCTTACTGAAAACCCATTCAAATTAGGCCCTTAGATCCCTATTTTTTCAAGTACTGTAGGCAAAAGTATCATAAATGAACTTTAGAGAAAACCTTGCTTCTCTTCTGTGTTCAGATCTCCCTTACTCTGTTTTTTAGGCTCAAAAATTTCTGCCGTTAATATTGTCAAAAATCCCACTACTCGTGGGAATAGCATGGAAACCTGTCTAAAGTAGTGTTCTCAGCTGTTAGCAATGTAAGCCTCGTTCATGCTAGAATTTATATTACTCGGAATTAGATTTTGGGGTTTTTTTTGATGTTATTGGTAGAGGAGAAGCTTTCAAGCTAAAGGCAAGAGAGGCTGACGTGATTTACCTACTGCATGTCACATTAGACTTAAGGTATTGCTGACTTCCAGCTCCATGTTCAGTATTCTGTGATCCATAACCCTTGTAATTTATATAAAAATTTTTGTTCTTTGAATAGGTGCCCAGTTGGTCCGAAGCATGGTAAATTCACAGCTAGTGGCTGTGAGCCAGCAGCAGGTGGAACGACCCTTGCGCACTAGACAGTCATCAGAATGTGTAAGTTCCAGTTAGCTTTAGTTTTAAAATGAGTAGATAGAACAAACCAGCAATCCTGGGCCATGCTAGAGAGATGCCCAGGTTATTATGAACAAATTCTGGACTTTGTAATGGCAACATTGCACTCTACAGTATCGGTTACTAAAGCTGTTTGGTTTACAGTCCAGTCGACTGGAGACCATTTGTGGTCTTTTGGTATGGAAACTACATGTTCAAGTTTCATATGCAACAACTTGCTGTTCCGAAAGGCCATCTTCACTCTCTGTCAGGTTAAGCTGAGAAGCCTTTTGAAGTCTTGAGCATAGTTCTTCTGGCAGTGTAGTTACTAAAAGTGCTCAAAGTTGAAATTAAAGATGAAGCGCAGCTCATCATTAACATGCAAGAGACTTAGGTTTGTGACTAACATGATTTTCTGAGGTTTCAGAAGGGAACTGTGTTAAGGATTCTGTGGATAGTCAGCTGGAAGGCAGCCAGCAGCAGTGGGTAGAAAAAAATTAGAAGTCAAAGGGGAAAGGATGACTGCCATGAATAGACAGGGAACATAAATGAGTCATTCTTCACTTCAGATGTGATACACAAAGAGAGAGTCTGCCAGAGCAAGCTAGAAGCACAAACAGAACAATGGGGAAACTTTTTTGTTTTTTCTTACAATTTGTTCAAGTCTCTTTAGAACCAGATAAAAATATGTTTAGCCTGCTCCTATGTGGAGATGGGTAGCAGAGGGTGTTTGAACAAATACAGCTGCTGACATTTAGTATTACTGCAGTACAGAATACCACAGAAAGTGATTAATCTTGAGCTAATAGGCTGAGAAACCTGTGCCTGCTTATGAAGCTGGCAAGTGAGTGTACAAAGTAATCGGGGCCGCTGATTACTAATGCGCTTTGTTCAGTTACTTTGCTAATGTAGGTGTTGAGTGTTTTATAACTGGTCAGCAAGCTTTCACTGGAATGTCTGTTCCAGTAACAGAGACTTGGTAACATCATTTTTTACTGTAATAGTCTGCTAATAAGGAGGGACTGATGCAACCCTGTTCTAAATGAACGGTCACACTGCCACCACGCTGTATCACATAACACAGAAGCATCTCTGTAGGAGCCTTGTATTTCTGTTTGGGAAATTGCAGCTGGAGGTGTGGGTGCATGCACAAGTGTCAGGCACATCAGACACACTGGACCTACTGCATGTGCAGTCAGTCTTGCATCATTTGGATGCCTTAGACTCTGTGCATGTGCTGTGTGGTTGTCATTTGGTCAGGATCTCCTGGAGAGGCCACAGAATATGTGCTGCCTGGGGGCTATTTGTTGGGAGGAAATGTTAGTGGTGCAAGAGGAGGCGAAAGGGAAAGCGGGGTGTGGAAGCAGACCATGAAGCTGGAGTTCATCATTTCTCCTCTCCTGCTGCTAGCATGTCCATGCATGCTTGTGGTGGTTTAATGTTTGCAGTAAGGCTGTGGTCTGTGTATGCGCTCTGTTTTTGAGTTTATTTGTTTGGGGTTTTTTTTTTTTGTAGGCTTATTTTGTTTTGTTTTTTAACAAATTTAAACTGTTAAACTAGTAATTGGCTTTCAAATCTCAGGCTTTACCTTCTTTCCCTGGTCTGATGCAAAGGCATAGAGGCATCAGTACAGGAATGATTGGAATAGCAGCAAGGAGCAGTCCCAGCTTCTGGGCTTCAGCTGTGCCCATGGCAAGATACACAGCACGCTATCGTAAGGAACTAGCTGAGAAGGTGCTGTGGGGACGTGCTGCAAACCTACTGGTTATTGAAGGAAAGTGACTGCCAATTTAAACAGCTAGGAGAGCAGTCAGGGATAGCTGCCGAGACCTTTAACTTCAGATATTTGACAGCAGCTAAGTTACCTGGAGCTTATATGTCTGCTATAGCCTATGGAGAAAGACAAGCAACTCCACAAGGAGACTGGGATCTGAGATTGAGATAATCACCTCTGTCTTAGGCAGCTATCTCTAATTTGAATCCCCTTGGAGGCGCCTATCTGATGCCATCGCCACCTCATCTGAGTGCTTAAAAACAAGTTAGATGAATCTAGACACTGGTAATAAATTTTGGCAGATAAGCTGGGAAACATCCAATCAACCCGGTTCTTGAAATGCTTTTCTGCTATGTGCAATACCAAACAGCTCAGATGGGCTCAGACCTGTTTCTGTATGTTGCCAGTGAAAGGGAAAGCTTTGTAAGAGCTCTACAAATGCTGTAATAATCTGTGCCTTCAGCCATTGCCTAGCATCAGGATACAGCAGTTGAAACTGGGTCTTTGGAGTTTCAATTTCTTGTTTAACAGATTAAATAAAAATTTAAGAAATATTAAGAGCTTATTTTAGAAGCACTTACAAAGGTATCTTTGGTAATGAGAACCACTGTTTAGAAGGGAGGTTTTGTAACTAGTTAATGAGGTTCTGGGCTGTAAATAAACAGGGTAGGGAAGACACGGAATAAAAATCAGAAAGAGATGTATGAGGAGTCTAGTGAATAGCTTGTTGGGTTTAATGTTTGCTCAAAATGATGTTTCTGATGGAGGGATGCACCACGTTAACAGGCCAAACTGTCTGCTGGTGGAAAATGATTGTTAGTTGAATTGTACTCATTCAAACCAGCAAGACCTTTGGCTTAGTTGGGGTGTTGCTGGGGAGTGCTCTGCTGTTTTTGTGAATAGTTTGATAAATTGGGTGCTTATTAAAGAAAAACACCATTAAATAGCTAGTGAACTAATCAGAAATACATACTTTTTTTTCCCCTCCAGTCTGATTCGCATCAGTCATCTTACTCTCCACAACCTCAACAATTTACACAGAATTCCTCTCAGCCAGCCTCCATTAACCAGACTCAGCCACAACCAATATCCCAGTCTAAGCACGTTCCGCAACCACAACAGGGTGCACAGCCACCCCATCAGGTCCAGCTGCCTTTGTTTAACTTTCCCCAATCTCCCCCAGGTCAGTATTCCACCTTGCATAACCTGGGACTACTTCAGATGCACCATCACCACCAAATTCAGCTTCCCAACACTTCGTGGCCTATTCATGGGCCCGTTATTCACTCTGCACCGGGTAACCCTCCTCATTCTACAAATGTTCCGTTTTCTATGAGGTCTGGCAGCAGCAGCACCACAAATAACCAGAGCAGTGTAAGCTTGAATGATCCCAGTATCATCTTTGCACAGCCTGCTGCCAGGCCCATGGGAATCCCCAGCACTTCTCATGAGGGACACTGGCACAATCCTGTGACTCCAAACTCACTGGTGAACAATGGCACTGTGGGGAATTCAGGTAACTCTTCTCTATTGTATCAAACCTCTCGCACTTTGTGTACAAATGTTAAATGTTACAGAAACAGCTAATGCTAAATTTGTTTTACGTTTAAAAAACGATGCTTAAGAAACAAAGTCATTATTTTGTCTTAACATTTTTACAGGAAAAAAAATCATGCAAGTTGCATCTAGGTAACTTTTAGGCATTGGTCCTGTCTGCCATTAAGAGCTATGCAACACATGAGAAATCATGCATTCAACTGAGAAGTACTGTAATAATTGTTTGAGTCTAAATTGCTTTTCTGTGAATATGCTTACAAATATGGTTTCTGTTTATGCTGTTACATGAATTGCTAGATAAATGCTAAGGTTGCACCTCCAAGCTCATAGACTGACAGAATTATGGTTGTGCCTATTGAGGGTTGTCCCCTTGCCAGTACTGCAGTACAAGCTTAATGATATGGTCTTACACAGTCTTCTCTCCTGTCGGTTATCCTGGCTCATTCATCTTCCTTAATATTGACATTCTTTCCTGAAAATGTTTTCCATCTGCTGCAACAAGTGGGCAACAGCCTTTGTCTCCTATGAAAAACAAGTACGCTTACATGTCTGAGGCTGAGAAAAATAGTATGTAGTAGCTAGAGTGAATGCAGTTATTTAAACAGCAAACAGTGGCAGTCCCTAAATGTGAACAGTGATCTTCTAAATCGTAATAGTAGTCTCTTGATTTATTGTGTGTATAACTTTACCAATGTTTAAAAAAAAAAAAAACCCTCATACAATATACTGATGCAGTCATTCATTGCAAGAGATGGAAATTTTAAATCTCCTGCACATCTCTGCGCTAACAGTTAGTGACAGCAATAGTGGATTCTCATCTATGAGTCAACAGTGTTAGATGAGAAACTCACTTCACCAGTCAGTTTTTTCAGGTATTTGCTGACAGGAGATGCATATTTTTCTATTCTGAGCAATGTGAGGAACATATTTTAGAGGATGCAGAGACTGCTACCAGTGTGCTTTCTAAGCTTGCCTTTGTCCCTAATCCTCCATCCTTTTTTGTCTTAATCCTCTGTCCTGCCTCATCTGTCCCCTCCTCCATGTCCACGCCAGCGCTGCCTTTATTTCTCAAGCATCTCCATCCGATTCACGTCTTCTTACCCGGGTAGCTGCCTTCTTTCAGACACGTTCCCCAAATCCCAGTTTCTTCTCTTGACTCTCCGTCCTCCCTTAACTAGTCCCAGTGCTCATCATCTTGTCTGTCAGTCTGTCTTCAGTTTCTTCCTTTTGCATTTTCTGTCTCTCTATGTGCTGTGCGCTCTCTGTTTGAAGCCTGCTTTCATACTTGCTTGGAACAATTTGGGAACTGCAAATTCATGGAAGCTTTGTCTTGATTCACATAATCTTGAGTGGGAAGGAGCAACTTTACTTTTCAGTAGGCAATCTGATCTGAAGTAAGATCATTAGAAGATTCAGACAGACAGCTTTTTTTCATGCTTTTTCCAGACTTATATTTCATGTTTTACTGTATAAAACTACTGTTCTTTTTAAAGCCATAGTTTGCTTATTATGAAAGTCTATCTAAAAAGTTTTCTAATGAGACAAAGGGGGAGCTGATATTCTGAGAAGGGTAGTTGCTTAAATTTTGTCTTTTTTTTTAATGTACATTGAGGTTTTTAAATTACAGGGTATTAGTGTCTTATGAAATTGGGAGTTTGGAGGGAAAAAAATAAACCAGAATTAATAAGACAGCATTGGCAATAATAGCTGCATGTCCTGCCTCCTTGATGCTTGATTTCTCATCCTTAATGCTGCAGTAATACTAGATTTGTGAACGGAATAATTTACAATTTGTAAAAAAAAAAAAGAAACAAAGAAACTCATTTCAGAAGTTTTTATCTTTTCAAAAAAATAATAAATTGGTCCAGTGATCTACATACAGAGTTTCTTAAGCATACGGGTGTTAGTGGAATTCCACTGTACTGCTTTTGAGAATTATTTCTTGCAGTAGGACATGCTTTCATGTCACACACATGTCAATGATAGTGAAGATCTGTGCAGGATCAGATACTAGTAAAATTTTTCAGAACTTTTATTTTTCATTGTGAGAATGACATACAGTCTAATTTATTTCTGTATGGAATAGTGAGATTTTAGGTCTTGATTCTAAGTACTGATTCATCGTCTATCTTCCCCCTCCAATACATTCTATTATCCTGAATAATGAAGTAATTTAGGTGGTAATTTTTATTGATGTATATTTAAAAGAAATTAGCACATCAGATTAATCGCATAAAGCCCCTGCAAACTGTTATTTGAGATGTAAATTGTATTTGTGACTTATTGTTTAATTATTTCAACTTGCAATGTGCTTTTCCCTTTCAATTGAAAAATAGATCAGGGTTTCCAAGGACAGTTTGGTAAAATGAACCCTCCTTCTGTCCCTTGGGACCATGGGACCCCTACCCATTTTCCTCTCCTCCGAGGAGCGTGGCCTTACAATATGCCTCAGAACTACATGCAGCAGGGAAATGCCAGCTATCCACCGAACAAACCTTTCTACCCTCAAGGTACTAGAACTAGTATATGAATCAACAGCTCATGCAACATGTCTCTTTACTGTCTCAAAGGCTTTAAAAGCCAAAGAACCATGTTTCACATGCCTAGGCTCCCTGGACCCATAAGAATGAATCCAAGAGTCAAATCAACGCTTCAGCTTCCTGTATGGATGGATGAAAATCTTTGTGGGAGGGAAGGGATTAAATGAAATTCTGAAGTAGCCAACTTGGACTGTGATGCACTTCCAGCCTTTTTTTTTTTTTTTCCTTCTCCTTCATTGCTGCTGTCTCACTTAGACCCACTTGTTTCAATAGAGGATAAAATGATTTGTCCATGCGCATGCCAGGAATTTGCAGAAATTTTTGTCCTGATTAGTTTTATTTGGCTTTTGTACCTTGCCTCATGGAATGGCTTGCATACATTAAAAACTTGCAAGATCATAGAATAGTTCAGGTCAGAAGGGACCTCTGGAGCTCATCTAGGCCCATCTGCAGTTAAAGCAGCACTAACATTAGATCGGGTTCAGTTATTCAGGATACTTTGAAGGATTGACTTTATCCAACTCTTTCTGATGCTAGTGAACAGTAAAAGTGTTCAGCATCTTGCAGGATTAGGAAAGGCTGTGGGAAAATGGTCTTTGGCTCCAGTGAGAGAGAGACTGTGCCCAAATTGTACTTAAAGGCACGCAATTACCGTGCTGCTGGGTCACTTTCTGTGAGATGAGAGATACTGGCATCAAATCCCATTTTTTCAAAGCCTAATCAATAGGCTGTAGCAAGGTTTCCAGGTGAGACCCAGATTTAAAAATCCTGAAATTATTTTTGTTAGTTTAAAGAAAGTAATCTTAAAGTAATGCAACAACAATGAAGTACTGATCATTGAGGGAATTTCAGAGATAGGATTAAAATAATACTGCACTGTCCTGTTAAATGGGTTAGTCAGATAGCGTTTGTGTCAATCACATAAATGCCTTTATTTATAAGTAAGTGTTATACATTGAATATAGCCAAACACTGTTAAGTTTGTTTAACTTGCTGAAGTAATTGTAATCCATTTTCTTTTAGCTGGTCCACTGATGCAGAGTAACCAGCGGTTCTCGCTTCTGTCTCAAGGACACCCACACTTGAATCTGAATTACATTCAACAGAAAAAGTGAAATTTAATGGGATTATGGGGGGGGGGGTTGAGGGAGGAAGGGAGAAAAAAAAATCAGGTTCTGATTTAAAATCTTAATGCAACATGTTTAGATACAAGATTATTTAAGACTGTTTTTAAAACTGTATCATTTGTACATAGATATGAACTATAGTTTTTACTAGTATCACAGAACTGAGTGATACAAATTTCATCTATTTTATTACCCTATTTTTAAGGGGAATTGTGTTTTGTTTTATCTTGATAAACTGTAAAGAGAGAGAATTTTTAAAATTAAGTTCTTTATTTTCTATTAGCTGTATTCATACTTTGGTTGCTTCAGACTTTATATATATTGTTCTAAAAAAATAAAATTAGAAAGGGATTTCATGTGTTTAAAAATTTGTCACTTCTATTCTTTACAGAACTATGTAGTGCCAAAAACAACTTTTTAAAAGAAAAATAAAACCGCAAAAAAAGATTTAAGACTTCTTTGCTCTTCCCTATTTGTTTGTATGTTTGTGTTTAACTGTAATTAGAATACTAGAATGAAAAAAACTTTTTAACATGAAAGATAAATAGCTTTAACCAATAAGACCTACTATGGGTATACACACACACCCCCTGCTGATGTCGCTACATACACTGTTCACAGGCAAGAGGGGTATTTTGTAAATAGTTGGTCTCTGCTTTTCCATTCGTAACCTTCCCAAAATAATATGGAGGTGTTCCAGAAAAATAAGACTGTACTATGATAAGATAACTTAACAGAGGGGGTTCCTTCCATAAGTTCATTGGGCACAGTACTCTTGTGCTGCCAACACTCATGGTATAAGGTATGGAAAACACTTAAGCGGTGATAAATGAATTTTGTATATAAAATCTTTAGGAGACAAAACTGTAAATCCATGCTTCTGAAGCAAGATTATGAATAGCACAGTACAAAAGGGGCTTAATACACAGCTGTTTTATTGTGATTTATAATAAATATGTATTAAGATAAGATCTGTAACTAGAATAAAAAGCTGGAATAGTCTTGAGGAACAGGGTCTTGCTGAATGCTAACTTCATTAAGCAAAGCTAGACCTGAGCATAATTAATTATATGTCATAGTTTGTGGCCTACTTGGGAGTGGGGAACAGAATATTTGTCTTCCAAGCGATGGTTGGTTACTATTTTTTAATTTAGTAACTTCTTCTTAAAAGCTATGAATAGTGGTTTGTTCTACTGTCTGGTTTTAGACTGCTTCTGACACTATTACTGGACTTAAAGTTGATTTTTACAAATTAACTAGTAACTCTGGCACAGAGCAGTACAGCTACACCTTTGAGTGTGGTTTTAAGTTAGCATCTGCTTTTAGAATAACACAGATTTTAACAGCGTTACTTCCTTTCTTGTACCAGGAGGTTTTTTGAGACAGTTTATGCTGGGAGTTCTTCAGTGTTACTGCGTTAATAACAAACACGTTCTCACTTTTGCAACTGAATTCAGTCGCTTTGTTTGTGAACAAAGCCTTGATTTGGGAATGAAACTAGCTTCAATTAGGAGAAGTCTAAACAAAGTATTAGGAAAAAAACAGCAAGGAGCCTTTAGAGACAAAAACCCTTATTTTTATTGCTTGTCACAATTTTTTTTTCCAAGCTTTAAGAAAACAATTTAAAAAATCCTTTAATTCTACCAGGAAGATGAGTAAATAACTACATAAAAAGTTTATTTACCTTTCTTTTAATTAAAAAAAAAAAACAAAAAACACTTCTTATATGAGAGAAGAAGGATTAAAGAAATAGACTGCTAAAGCAGCCAGTGCATATCCTGCTGCCCCATAAAGCAAATAGGACAGTATTAGACTGCAGTTCGAGGTCCCTAAACTGCCTGCTGGATTTAGTTTGCTATTCATTCCCTCGACGACTTTTCTTGTGGCTTTTCTTAGATCTGAAAGAAACAAACAAAAATTCATAGGACACGCTACTATTAATTGTTTTAAAAGACCAAGGTGATTCATAGTGGTGTTTTCTGTAGTGGACTATGGATAACGCATCTTGACTTCAAAACCAGCGCTTGGGGGAGGTACCATATCAAATACTTTATCTCCACCCAATGTAAGAGGATCCTCAGCCCTGAGATTCAGTAGCAGCTCTTACAACAGAACTGACCCCCTTAAGAACTATGCCAAGCCTTTACCTTTCAGGTGACTTAGAGTGACTTCTGTGCCTGTGACTACGGTGGTGCCCTATGAGGAAAAAAAGGTAACAGTTACTTGTGTTTATAGTCACAGACCCCTGAAATTCTTTTTTTTGCTAATGTAATCCACTTTGTGACTCAGTGTCCTAGATAATGCCAGAAGAACCCTAGCCTTAATTAGCCACACAAACTAAGCTCCATGTAAATATTTGAAAAACATACTCAGTGCAATGTTGCACGTGTTAAAGGAGTCCTCCAGGCATGCTTCCATATAACTAGCTATTTTATAAGCCACATTAGGCCTCTACTCTAGGTTCTTGTGTTTTCCTTGCAGTAGATGCTCTGTTGATAGAAACGTGCCAGAGTTAAGTGGTGAACTACAGAAATACCTGGAGATTTAGATCTTGATCTGTGGCGCCTCTCTCTGGATCTGCTGCGGTGTCGTCTTGGGCTTTTGCTGCGATGCCTCTCCCGGCGTGGCGAAGGACTGAGAGAAAGCAAGCTTTTAAATAGGCATACCAAAAATGCACGCATTCTAAGATTATATAGCAGAAAAATAGATTACCTTCTCCTCTTTGGAGAGCGGCTTCGTCTGTAATGGGAAAAAGAAAAAGAGTCACTAAAAGCCATCGACTGAACCAGTAGTTTCATTTCCTGTATTCTCCAGCAACAGCACCGGGGCTTCCCTTGCGCTATCCCATATCCCCAGTTCAAGTGTTTGTCTGGCCTGCTACACATGCTTCTGGTCTGGCTCGTACAGTGAGCAAGAAGAGGTAAGTGATGCTTTTTTTCCTGATTTAATACCAGTAGGAACAATTAACAAGATGTATTTTCTCCTCAGCCCTTGGTTTACATGAAAATCACAAGCACTTGATTCTGCTTGATACCTTAACTCCGCTGTCAAATTTAGCTGAAGTTGGCCAGCAAATTCAAGAATTACTGAAGAACTAGGGAAACAGGCAAATGAGTTGACTGCAGCTGTGCAGCACTGCAACTCTTTAAGTAATGGCTAAAAGTGGAAGGTCTAAGAGATTCTGGCTGAAGGCTATCTCTCTTCAGCTCTATAATTCGATCCAGTAAAAGCATTCTGCAGCACCGTAGATGTGTTTTAAGTAAAAATATTGTTCACAAAGAGGCATGCATCACCTTCTTGGAGACCTGCTTCGGCTCCGCCTGTATCGCACAGCAGGAGATCTGCGGGGTTTATCTAGGTCTCTGTAACCTCTTCTGCGGTGATCCGGAGAAGGTGCTCGCTCCAGCTGCAAAGATTTTTAGTTATCAGTAAGGATTCCCAAACAATTAATACAAGAGATAAAAGAAGAAACAGGTTGTCCAGTTCAAGCTTCCCTTTCCTCAAGTATTTCATACACTCAGAAATGAGCAGTACTACCTAAGTTTGCTAATCATAAAAGAGACTGCGTTGGAAATTAAAACGGCCACCTCATACTGCCCGCTCCCTCCCTTAAAAAGCGGAATTGATCAACTAGGACCATCATCATAGCTTTCAGCATCACCTTTAATTCTTTCTAAAATACCTATATATACTCTATATGTATATATAATGTCTGAAATACAAGCAGACAGAAAAGCTCAACAAACATGGAGCACTTTAGAGCTGCTTCATGGTCTAGCACATTCGCATAAGCAGTTTATATGAAAATACATTAAGGGAGGAGAAAAAGCTGCATGCAGCCTTCTAGTGCCTCCCCTCAGACATTTCTCGTAACTGATAAGAAGTTCGGTGATCAGTTTTAAATATCCCTTTACAAAATACTATAAAACAGTTGACTAACTTTTTCATCTTCTTCCTCTTCCTCCTCACTAGACTCCACATCATCCATGTCCTCTTCCAAAGCACTAACACGAGGCTCAAGTTGCTCAGCTTCTTCCAGAACATACCGTTTCTAGGAGAAATTACAACTTTATCTTACGTAATCCAAGTAAGAACAAACTCCTAAGAAAGAATCTGCTGCGCACAAGAAGTCCTGTACGTGGCTTTATGCAACAAACCAGTAGACTGATGGAAGTACTGAATATGATGCAGTCAAGAATTCAATAATCCACTTTTCCAAACCTGTAATCGAGGCAGAATGATATCACACACGCGTTCCTCATGGAGTAGTTCATCAATAAATTCATCCACGTGCATCAGTTCAAATTCTGGGAAGAAAAATAGCATTTTAAAAGACCAAGAAAATTAACACTAGCAACTGGAGTAAAGATGAAACATTTGAGACTTAAAAGACTTGTATCAAGTGGGCTGTACAAACAATAATGCTAAAATCATTCTTAAAAATTAGGAAAATCATTCGGCCTATCTTGCAAAAAGAAGAAACCACTGCACAGCTAGGATTAGTAGATTCCTTGTGCTTAAACTAGCACTCAGATTATAGTTGCTTTCTGTTGGGCACTAAAATTCAGTACCACAAATACCAAATACAAGTGTTTGGAGAAAGCAAAAAATGCAAGGCAGCTCCCATTTGTAATAAATTACAAAGACCAGCAACAGACTATCCAATGAATGAATGAATAAGTAAAAGCAAGATTTCAAGAAAATGATTTTCCTATAATTTTTTAAGCTTTTATTGCTAAAGCGGATATTTAACTTCATCTAGCCTTATTTTTTCCAGCAAAAGGTCATCTACGATACACTGAGAAACCACAGCTACGTAACGGTGCTTACCGCCATTTCTGTTCTGACTTTTTATTTTTCGATAATCATTGTACAGTGGTTCAAGATATTTGTAGCAATCGATGGCAGTGCCTGTCAGTCTCATGTACAATGCACCAAGCATTCGGACATATCTGAAAAGTAAACAAAGCGTTTCATACAACTGTGCTTTTTGCATAGGCAGCAGATGAGCTAAAACCCAAGTCTTTTCCCATACGTTTGTTAGGAAAAATGTGTACACTAAAATAAACAGAATAAGAGATCATTTAGATTTTCTCCTTTGAACACATGTATCTTCTCTACCGATTGTCTAGGCATGCAGGAACTATATCATCAGACCCTGAACTGAAAGAAACCCTTAAAAAAAGGAGGTGAACAGGGCCCCCTTAACACACCTGCTTCCAACTACTCAAGGCAGGAATGTATTATGGCATTACGCACACGCTATAGAAACAAGCAATTTCAACAGCCTAAGTGACACAAGAAGAGCAAGTCCTTTGAAAGAGAGAACAGCGACACGCTTTGGAAAGCAGAGTTTTATCACGGTCCCTGTAGAGAAAACTAAACCTAGCACCGAGGTTACACTGCCAGTCCACATTTCACTCAACATGACAAGCAAAAGAGAAG